GTAAAATATTTACTTACTCCCGTAGGTTGCAAAATCCTTCAAAGCTGTACACACTACATCACAATATTCAAATCTGAACAAAACACCACGGACACAATCAACAGGCTAAGAAAAAAACATCCGTTCCAGTTTCCTACCTATGGAATATGGCTTGGGTTTGGATTTAATCCAAGTTTGAGTTCTAAACATCAATAAATATGTATATCAATGGAATACATCAAAAATATTGTTCTTATATTAGATGAATGCATATTTCAAAGATAATGCAAATCACATATCATAACGATAGTTTTAATATTTTCATAATTTTTGTTGGCATGCTGATTTTGGTTTCTGACTTTGGCCATGATTTAAAGCAATCTAATTTTTAATCTAATAAATACCAAAAAAATTAATCTATCTTAATAAATTGAAAATCCAATCAAATAAAATAAATAATGATCTTCTAATCCAATCTGATCATTTCTAATCTAATAATTCTAAATCTGTACCATTTACTAGAATGGGGTCTCATGTGATATGTCATGAAGCAGCTATGTTTAGAAACCTTGTATAATTTAAATTTGCATTGATTATTATCAAATGTTATAAAATTGAATAAGTAATACCTATTTATTAGTGTTGAATATCAATGAATAATTGTAATGCAATAATTATTTTTTATTGTAGCTGAAACTCATAGAAAACATTTCAAGGATAGACTTCGTTTACTAGTAATGGGGAATTTAAATGAGGTGAGAGTCCGTGAGTGTTTGAAATATTTACTTGAAAATTCTTATTTCAGGCAATGAATTTCACTTATAGCAGAGGATGAAAATATGGTTATACAACTTTTATGATGAATTTGTAGCATGAACACTCATATAGTAAGCAAAATTAGAAATGTCAACTTATTGTCTGGTGACTCAAATTAAGGTGCTTGTACCCGGGGATAGTACTAGTGGCTAGTAGATCAGAAAATAGCCAAATGTCTGCTGCTTGGTGTCTATCCCGCAAGTAAGCTTAGACACGAGACAAGTTTAAGGTGCCACTGTGCCGGTATCTAGTCGTTACCGGCACGGCGGCACCTTAACTCTAATCGCCACGGGTTGTTGTGTCATGCTACAACCTTGGGTGCAAAAGATTTCTGCCCTTAATTCTGTTAAGTATTTTTTAGGTGTCTTCTATTATACATGTGCTGCAATTATTTTACCAGCCATTAATATAGATTGTTTCCTATCAAATGCAGTCTTTAAATGTACAATTGTGAACTCAAATCTATTTTTAAAAATTATGAGAATGAAAGGACCGAATTTCTGTCCTCAAGCAGAGCCATTCCCATGTACGACAACTCCAACCGCTCGAACTTGTGTCTATGTTACCCATGTGGATGAGACTGTGAGTCATTCATGTGTGCGTGTGCCTGAGAACATGTGCATATTTATTGCTGGTGCATATGCAGCTTCAGCACTGGTGCACCTCCTGCATCCTCATCGCTAGGTTCTTTGTTCCTATAGTTTTTTATCTCATTGTCTGCGAGTTTGTTGCCCGCCATTGGAAGAATTGCATGAAATGAAACGCATCAGCAGAGCAGGAAGCTTGAGTACTGGTATAGCATCCACCTCTGTTGCATGTTGTCACTGATATCGTGAGTCCAACAGGGGTGTAGCTCGCTGGCGGCACGCGACTGACGCGAGTCCGCTTACTTGATAGCAAATGTTTATACGTGGTTTGCTAAATGATCTACCTTATCATTATGGATCAAAATAGCTAAAATATTATTGATTCAACACCAAGAATAGACATCAGTTGAAGAGTATCTTGAAAGACAAGGCTGTGAGATTTGTGGTTACTTTTTTATGGTGGGTATTGAAAAATAAGGGCATTTTCCAGCTCACCCTACGCAATTAGGGTTGAACTTGCCTTGTGTCTAAGCTTCCTTGCGGGACAGACACCAAGCTGCAGACATTTGGCAATTTTCTGATCTACTAGCCGCTAGTACCATCCCCGTGTACAAGCACCTTTACGTTCCGGTAAGAACGGTCCCCTACCATTTGCTTGGAGTGATGTTTTCTTTAGGGAAATAAAATTTATTAAACAAGAATTTATGATAAGAGAGATACTTTGAAGTCTCTCCATGTCAAAATAATTGAAATCTGTGTGTAAACATGAAGTTCCAATATTTTTTAGGCATTTAATGATCTGAATTCAGCTAGTCGGTAGCTTTTGACAATCTTGAAATTTTCATTCAGGGAACTGTTGTTCTTGTTGGGCCATTGTTTGGCGCCTTTGTTTTGTTTATTTTTCAGTACGCTGCTGGTCATGTGAAGGAGGGTGTTACTGCTAGTGCTACCGTCAACCAGGGCTACTCGGGACAGTTTTGAGCGTTTTTTTTTAATAACTTCTTATGATGAAACATTTCATAAACAAGTTTCAGCTCATTTTATAGCTCATTGGCTCATTGCGAGGGCTATCGAATGGCATTGTCAAAAAAATTCCATATGCTATTCCTAAGGTGCCAGAAGCAATAAAAAAGAGTGTCCCGAGTAGCCCCGTCGAACGGGGCTACTCAGGACACTTGCAATAAAACTTCATTTTAAAATATTTGAAGCATGCAGAGTGTACTCATCCATTACTAACAGTACTCTGAAGTCCTCCTCTTTCATTGTAGATGATGTAGAGGTAGAATAAATGACATTTTCAGTGATTTTTTTACTTGTTTTTCCTTCATTGATGATATTACCATAAACATTAATTACCGTCAACTGGGGTGACTTCGGCCACCTTTATGATTTTGTTTTGCAAACAAAAACGGGTCGTAAACGCCAGGGTCATAAACGCCAGGGTCGTAAACAAGGTCATAAACTCCAGAGTGACTTTGGCCATCGTTTATGACCCCGCTTTTGTTTGCAAAACAAAATCAAAAACATGACTGAAGTCACCCCAGTTGATGGTACCTTATTATTGATGTGATATTACTGTATTATTGATGATATTACCCTATCCATGAACATGCCATTGAGCATTTACAGCAACCTTGTCCACTGCAAGCTTCATATCAGCAGCCTTATAACATTTTTTCGGTACCGTAAAATGGGGTTACTTTGACCGGCTTTTGACCAGCTGGGTATCTTTGACCACTTTTCATTTTTTAACAAAAACCCCCAAAACTCAGAAACGATTTGACATAGAAAAATTTTGTCAATGGCCATCAAAGGCCTAATACTGAGGCTACGTAACAATAGAAAGATTTAAAAAGTTTGCATGTCTAATAGGTTAAAAAATTAATAATGTGACCCACGAAAAAGAGCTTTATATAAAGCCTGTCGGAGTACCCCCTCCAATTTTTTTATTTTTTGGTAAAATAACTCCAGGTTTTGATGCATTGTAGTAGAACTCATCTAGTTACATATGCAAAAGACAAATTTTAGGAAAGTGTCATAGTTTGCAAATGGGGGGCACCACCCCCCAATGGGGGAACTTTGAACACCTAATGGCAGCCGTGACGGGGTAACATTGACCGGCTTGGAAATTAAGTTAAAATTACCATAGGTACCTATATAACATATTTTATGTTTGATACACCTATTAATGTTTTTTTCTTTATGTTTCAGACTCTACAGAGTCTTAGATATGGTAATTTTAACTTAATTTCCAAACCAGTCAATGTTACCCCGTCATGGCTGCCATTAGGTGGTCACATTTTGCCCATTGGGGCCGCGCCCCCCATTTGCAAACTATGACACTTTCCTAAAATTTGTCATTTGCATATGTAACTAGAAGAGTTCTACTATAATGCACCACAACCTGGAGTTATTTTACCATAAAATAAAATTGATTTTACCACCCGGTCAAAGAAACCCCAAGAGCTGGGGTAACAAAGACCATCACTTTTTTTTAAATTACATCAAAACTATGAGATGCAGGAGCCAGCAATTTATGGTGAGTAAAGCTAGAGTATAGACCTGTATTTTGCATGTTTCAATTTAAGTTTAACTTATCTAGTAAAAAAATGGCATCACTTTGAAAAAAAAGTGGTCAAAGTTACCCCATTTTACGGTATCTATAAGCTCACAGGATGGCTTGTAATTTCACACCATTTTAATTGGGTTGAGTGAATTTACTATAAAAAAATATAACTCAGGACTCACTGCAGTGAGTGACTGAGAGCGCATTTTCTCGTGGACGAAAACTTGAGGTCACAGACGAATGGACAGACGGACGGACAGAAAGACAGACAGACGGACATGGCAAGCACAATAGTGCTCGTTTATGTGCCATTTTAATTGGGTTAAGTGAATTTACTATAAAAAAAAAGATTGTGAAAAACATACCTGAAACAGAAAGGAATGTTTTAGTGACAACCATCATATATTTTGGAGAAATAAATCATAGTTTATGTCAATTACTTTTCATTCTATGATGCCCGGTGCACAATTATATATATAGCATTCTATGTACAATTTTGTGACAACCAATGATGCACTAATTTATTGATAAGTGAAATTTTTTTCGCCAAGCGAGGTAAATGTAATCAATATTCTATGTTTTTAATCTATTTTTATCTTCACTGGAGCCTTTGCTTACTGAGGTTCTACTGTAAATGCATTTTTGGGGGTGTCCCGAATAGCCCCGGGAGGGTGTCCCGAGAAGCCCTGCCGTGCGGAAATGGCGCCATTTTTTTTTTTGGGAATGAGATAGGACAATTCCGTTAATTAGGTTTTCAAGCCGAGACCTGGGTGCATCTTTTATGTAAGTAAAATTTTTTAATACGGTAAATATTTTTTTTGCTACAGACCTTAGCAGAAGTAACTTTTCAAAATAGCGTTTTTCACCATTTTTTTCAGGAATTTTTCGAAGCTAGTAAATGTAGTATTTTTCAATTTCCTTTATACTACATAGATAGTTAAAATGTTGATGTTTATGCCACTATATTTAGTTTTGCAATATTCCAATTAGTTTTGCTACTCTACTATAACAGTTTTACGCCGTGTCGGAGGACTGTCCCGAGTAGCCCCGCCCGTCCCGAGTAGCCCCGGTTGATGGTACGTGCTTTTGGGAATGGTCTGTAAAAATCATAGATCTGTTCATAATGTCTAGATAACAGGTACTTTTATATTACCTCTATTATTGCACCTTGCGTGTTAATGCAGTCTGACAGCTTTGACATGGCCGCAACTATGCGCGACCTTCAACAAAACGTTTAGGCTAACTTGTTGACATTATGATGTTTACCTTCTGCAGGATATTTTGGCGGGAATGGTAAAGCAATGCGGATTGCATTAGTTGAAAATTTTATGAAATGACATGTTTGCTACTACTGTAAAAGGGGGTTACTTTTTGACTATTTTTTTAAATGATGCAATTTTTTTACTAGCTAAATTAAACTTGAACATATAAAATACAGGTCTATACTCTAAGTTCACTCACCATAAATTGCCTGCTCCTGCCTCTCATAGTTTTGATGTAATTTCAACAAAAGTGATGGTCTTTGTTACCCCCACTTTGGTGTATCTTTGACTGGGTGGTAAAATCAATTATATTTTTTGGTAAAATAACTCCATATAACTCCAGGGTTTGGTGCACTGTAGTAGAACTCTTCTAGTTACATACGGTATGCAAATGACAAATTTGAGGGAAGTGTCATAGTTTGCAAATGGGAGGCACTGCCCCCGAATGGGGGAACTGTGACCACCTAATGTCAGCCGTGATGGGGTAATATTGACTGGCTTGGAAATTAAGTTATAATTACCATATATAAGATTCTGTAGAGTCTGAAACATAAAGAAAAAACATTAATAGGTGTATCAAACATGACGGATGTTAGATATGGTACCTTAACACGTTGGCCGCGATTGCTGATTTGGCCCGAATGCCGAACGGGCGATAGGTTCAAACTTGTATATCTTCAGTTACCCGGCAGATAGCAAATTAACTTAATTTCCAAGCTGGTCAATATTACCCCATCAGGGCTGACATTAGGTGGTGAGAGTTCCCCCATTGGGGGTGGTGCCCCCATTTTCAAACTATGACAATTCCCTCAAATTTGTCATTTGCATGTGTAACTAGAAGAGTTCTACTGCAATGCACCAAAACCTGGAGTTATTTTACCAAAAAATAGAAAAAATTAGAGAGGGTTCATAATATAGGTGGGGAGGGTGTCCTTTATTACCCCGTCACACGGAAATGGCTGACAATTTTTTTTTAATGAGATAGGCAAATTCTGTCAATCTTGATTCCAAGCCAACACCTGTGTGCAACTTTTATGTAAGTAAAATTTTTTAATATGGCGAATGTTTTTTTGCTCCAGACCTTAGTAGAGGTACTTTTCCAAAATCACACTTTTCACACTTTTTTGGCAATTTTTTAGAGATAGTAAATGTTTGATTTCTTGACTAGCTTCATACATAATAGATAGTAAAAATGTTGATGTTTATGTCCCTTTTTCAGTTTTGCAATATTTTGATTAGTTTAGCTGCTACAACATTTCTACGAAATGTGGGACGTGCGACCTGATTTACCCTGCCTGTCCATTATTACCCAGTTTGATGGTATGGTAAAAATTTTATGCTTAGTAATTCCTTGCATAAAGAATTGTTTGAAAATGATATTGGTCATTTTATTTTCTGCTTACCTTGACATTGAATGTAACTTATCATTTTTGTTTTGTGTATATATACAGGATCTCTCATCACTCTCATGGAGAAACCAACTCCAAGAAATTCTTCTCAAAGAGTCCGAAGTATTTTTGATGATGACTCTGATTGTGAGAGTGATGCTGGTCAAAATGCTGTCTCTGATCAAAGTATGAAAAAAGCATCAGCCATGGAGATGCCAGTTACTCAGGATAATTCCATGAGGTCTGGAAGAACAGCTTATTCAAAACCTGAAAGTTTGAGCAAACAAGCTTCTGAAAATGAAACTGTTTTTAGAACAAAGGAAAATGTGCCTCACAAAAGTGATTGGCTGCCTTCCAAAAATGTTCCTCAAGAATTGGAGAGCCAGTCATCAGATGAATCAGACAATGACTTTGCTGGATTTGATGGCACTATGAATGTCTCCAATAATTCAACAGGAGACTTTGATGGTTTTGAAGCCTCTTCTCCTCCAGCACGGGAGCTGGCCATGAGCCCCATCACTGAAATATCCAGTTCTCTTCCAACTCCTGCCATTAATGAAGATAATACTGAAAATGATGCTAAATTTGAAGAGCCTGTACAACAAACTTCTGTATTACTGGAAGCTAATGCCACAATAAATGCTAAAGTTAATGAGCCATCTAGCTCTGCTTCAGTCAGCAATGAAACAGCACCCAATTCCACCCTAGACTCAGATGCTGTCAATATCCCATCAGTGAAGATTGAGGAGCCTGAAGTGGAGATTCTAGAAGAGGATTCCTGCAGTGCTGAGCAAGATGGATTTTTTGAAATGCCTTCTCCTAATGCAGCCAGTTTTGCTGTTGAAGTTGCCAACCAAGTTAGAGTTGGAGATGTGTTCACTGACTCTGAAGATGAAGCTGCTGGAAGATCCATGATCCAAACAGCTAGAAAAAATGTCATGGCTGGAAATAAACATCTATGTGAGTATTATTTTTTTGGCAGGACATATATAATTTTTTGATGAGGCTTATTGTGTGAATTACCCTAACTTAGTCTTAATATCAGTGATATCTCATGATGTGTGGGCATCATCTTAGAGTATAAGGCATGATTAGTAGTATCTTAGTAATTTGATCTACTGCAAGCATTTTGAAAAATTATAGTTTGATTATGCCTTAGAAACCTTATCATGGATTATTGAAGAAATGTTTTGATGAATAATATTTAATGCAAATCTGAATGCAGAGGAGAGACTTTTTTTTTTGCTATGCATTGCCTATATTTGATCATTCCATATATATATAGATAGATAGTTCCAGACTCTAAAATCCAGACGGTAACTTTTAAATAAATTTCAAATTTGGTGTTGATTTGATTTATGCTTACTGTATTTTCTTAAAGTGAAATATAAAAAGACCCACATGAGGCTTTAAAAACCCCAATTTTTATCATAATTATATCATGACACAGCATGCTTCTTGAGACTATAACTTCATGTTTGATGTTATTATTGGCTTACATCAACTCAAAAGTCCATAAAATCAGCTTTAAAAATATTAGACATACTAAAAGCCTACAGCTAAGTGTGTGAAATGACGAGAGCTAAGTCAATAGACTTTTATCTGTTCTGTCAAGTTGCCAGTTGATATTTGAGCTCCTTTAATAGACTCAAAATTGATATAATTAACAAAAAAAGGTGGTAATACAGGAAGAAGATCAAACCCTCAAGGTACCTATTATTTTCACAGTCAAAATTTAGTCAAAAAATTTTTTACCTTTGTTTTTTCTAACTCACTGGGTTTCTTCAGTACACTTGCATTTGTCCAATTTCAAATAATTTAGCTTCCTAACTAAAAACTAGAAGTGTTACAAACCTGGCAATTTTTGAGTACATACACTAGTAGTTACTCTTAACTCTTGAGGTTTGGTACAAATTTCACAGTGTTAAGTTAAATTCTTCAAAAAATATGGGGAAAATACTGAAAAATCCTTTTTGCAGTCCAAGACTATATGTGTTTATATTGCCACTGTTATAATTTATGTATATATGTCAAATCATTCAATAGTAAACCTGCCAAATGAAATTTATTGTTGTATTAATAAGCCTGCTTTCTGTTTTTGATTGGTTTATTGTATATTTTTTTTCAGTGGCTAGCTTAAGGCCCAAACATTCCCTTGATTTGGAGGCCATGGCTGCTCCATTTGCTCAAGGTATTGTACTTAGGCTCATTAATTTCTATGGGTGAATAAAGTCCAGTGATTATTACTCTTAAAATTGCCTCTTTTGTTAGACTAATTTCAATTCAAATACAAAATCATGTAGAACATTTAAATTTAGATGTTTTGATTACTTGAAGTAATTACGTGTATCTAACCTAAATTTGAACGAACTTCTTTTTAAATTATTTGCTGTCAAACCTGGGGGCATTTTTTCTTGTCATTTATTAAGAAGCCATGTGATTTTAGGTTGGAAACGTGAGGTTGTCTTCCGTTCTGCCAAGAGCGAGACAGAAAGACGCACTGCTGCAGATGTCTACTACTTCACTCCATCCAACAAGAAGCTACGATCTATTGTCCAGGTTGAAAAGTATTGTAAGTGACTCAATTTTATCCTCTCCAATTTTACTAATTCTCTGTAAATGTCTTAGTAGTGCAAAAAGGGTAAAATAAACAGACAATAGGTATGAATTCTGATCACTTTCAAGTTGAAACATCTGATTAAATGCTTCTCAGGACCATGTTTTGAATTTTTAGAAAGTTTCATGCCAGATGACAGGTCAGTCCAGATCTCTCTTCAGATTCTGCTGTGTATGTTGTTTGTTCATAATAGGTTATTTTTTAACATATGACTTGATTATTCATGTTTATTTATTTTCCTCTAATGAAGTTTGTTTCCAACTAGCTCAACTTTACCAAGCTAGAAGTATTTATTAACAATATGAATTTATTGTGAAGAAGGTTTTGATGTTTTTGAAATAAATTGATTTTGTGCAGTGAGTGAGAATGAGAACACATCTCTATCTGGCAACAACTTCTCATTTGGACGTCACCCTCTAGGCATGGATCCTTCTGTGGAGAGAGTGAGACTCTCAAAGCCTGCTGTACGTATTATATGGACACTGTCCCGGACTAGATTTGATATTTTATTGCTTCAATGCTAAAAACTATGCTCATCAATGCACAAAAGTGAAATTTTATTGAATAGGTTCACTGTGAAAAATATCTGCCTTCATGGGATTTGGCTGAAAAATTTACTGGGGAATAAAAACATTTTTACTTGAGGGAAAGCACCACATTTGTATTATACTTTATTTGACACACCTATTGGCATTTTATTTTCCTCTTCTGATGTACTTCTTGAACTATACACAGCCATGTGGTCTTGCTCCCTGAAAATGAATTCAAATATCCTAATATCTTTGTATTTCCTTTTGTTCCATAGGTGTCTATATATTTTTTGCAACTGGCAATTTGTCTCCAAATTTGTAACTTTATTTTACTTTATACTGCCATTTTATTTTGATTTCACCTGTACATGAAGTTGAACAGGCGAGGGTCAATATATTATTATGAGGGTAAATTTTTTCTCGTTAGTTAGAAAAATCTTAAATTTCAGAATTTCTGGTAAAATGCAAGCATTTAATTCTTGCACACTATTCAGATCAAACGCAAGTTTGACCAAGTGTCAGAGGACAGCTTGCAGGGAGAGAAGCCGGCTGTCTCATCTGTGCCCCTGAAGAAAAGAAAGGTTGATTTTCATCCTAATGCTTCCTACCCTACAGGTCAGTTGTTGCTATGAACATTAAAACTGAAATTTATCATCAAAACTAAACTACAGTTATTGCCATGACCGTCAAAACTGAACTTTATTCCTCTATTGTTGTATATTAGCTATAGATTGTGCGCAGCAGTCTCACAACTGTTTGTTGTATGATCAAGTTTTTGAATGTTGCTCATTATTCACTGTTAGAAAGATCAACTTCCTGTATTTTCATTTAACTGTTTACTTCTAGAATTTTAAACAGTTCCTGCGAGTACAATCAATCCATCTACAGGCTAACATAGATATCTGCAGAATTTTGAATTTTCAAAGGCAATTTAAGAAAGTGTGAAGAATTTTAAGATAAATTTACTCCCTCAGATTTGTCTGAATTTTTGTATATTGAAAGATTAATTGCAGTTGAAGACTCAAACACGTTCAAAATGCTAAAAAAAATTATACACTTAGTTTGAATTAAATCATCCAAATAGAGAGGGTGACTGTCAAACTTTAAATTTATTGTTTCATCAATCTACTACCTGCATTTTCTGAATAGATATTGTTTCTTCCATCTTTTATAAAACTTAGGAACGAGCATCAATTTCATTGTCTGAGTCTAAACAAATATCTTAACTCTTGGACGCTGGTAGGCAGTGGTGCTACTATGTATGGAACAGTGGTCAGTTGATTGGTGATTGGCAGAAGCATGATAATGTAGCTTCTAATATATAATATAAAGGACGCAAAGGTCTAGGACGCACTGTGCATTTTTGGAAGAAGGTCTATAGTAATCATATATTGCAAGTGGCCAACAAATGTGGTAATAACATCATTTTGAAGGGAAGAATGTAACGGGTCCTAGTTTCATGTTGTGAGTGGCAGTTGCTATTTTCAGTATAAATGCTACTCTCACTTATATTTTATTGATACTGATGTGAGCTGTTATCTTCTTGAGCCACAGAGGATCATTTCAAAGTATTTATCGGAACTAAACAGTTCAAATGTACTCAGTGTTCTTATTGGCATTAATGTGTTTGACTGGTGTCTCTCCAACAGAAGAGACATGCAGTCCTCGCCATTTCCTAGACATTGCTGGTGCACCTTCAGCTGCGGTCTCAGAACCCTCCCAGTCTGTGCCTGCTGATCCCACACACCACAAGACCAAGGCCCCCAGCGCTGCTCCTGCTGCTCCAGCTGCTCTTGCTGCTCCTGCTGCTCCTGGGAGTGATGGCACTTTGATCTCCAGGGACTGCGAGGTGCGCGAAACAAACTTTTTCCATAACAACCATTAAGATTTCAATGAGAATTATTTGTTGATCTGTATTACTATGTTATGTATATATTTTTTTTGCTTCACCAAGCCCCATTCTACATAAAATATTTTTGAAGTGTCTTAGATACAGTTCTGTTGTTGTAACGTTTTTAATTCATTATTTTAGGTTTGTAAATAAGAAAACGTCAACTGATCCACCAATATATTCATTCTACTTGCAGGTGATCATGCAGCGGATGAACCCAGGCGTTACACGGGCGCAGTATCCGCTCTATGATGCTGGCTCAGGTCGGTTTATCATTGACATTTTTCATTACATAAAGCCAAAATTCCAAGTTTATTCTGCTAGGATTTTTAGCTTTAGTCTCTATGAAAATATTTTTACTAGAAGCAGGAATTCAATAATCTGATCATTATCACCAGAACAATAGTAATGAATTAAGTCAAATTGAGTATTATCAGTTAAGACAGTCTGTGTTGTTGTCACAGTATTGATATCAGAAATCATTCCATGAACATGAATGATTGTATAATTACTGCATTTATTATCACAGACGTAATATTTTTTATAATAGTGAAATTGTAAAGCAAGTATTAAAGGCGCGGTCCCTACAGAGGCAGCGAGCTCGTGGAACCAGTCACTGTGTCGCATTGGGCGCCCTCTGCGTCTGGGCAACACCCCCGCGTCCCACGTGGTGGAGCCGCCACGTGAACCTTGGGGCCCTAATCCCCCACGACTCATGGCAGGACCTAGGATCATCACGCCCCTGTAAGACCAGCATCTCTGTGGCACCATCTTCAGCAACATGTACAGGGTCCTTCAAGAAAGTCCCTGATTTCAAGAGGCTTTTTGCAAAAAATCATACGACACATACAGAACAATTAATTTTATTTGTGAATATCTCATTTGATGCCATTTTATTAATAAGCCTCTCCGTTTTGAGGAAGCCACTGCATGAGTTGTAGTGGGGGTAGAGATGGGGATTAGGTATATATCCGTTCCTGCGTACGTGCCGTTCTCAGTGTGTGCCATGGCTTGGCACGGTGAGCATCGGGCGTTTGTTGTGGAAGAGTTTATTACAAATGGCAGTTCTGTGATTTCTACTCAACGAGCGTTTCGGATTCGATTCAAACTTGGCCGACATGAGAGTGTTCCTGATGCGAAAACGATTAGACTGTGGGTCTCAAAATTTAGACAAACAAGGTCAGCACTAAAAAGAAAGCCAACTGGCCGACCTCGTACTGCAATAACACCGGAGAATGTGACGCGAGTGAGAACATCCATCCAACAGTCTCCAAAGCGGTTAGCGGTTAAACATGCAGCTGCCCTGGCATTGTCAGAAACGAGTGTATGGAGAATTCTGCATAAAGAACTTCAACTGCATCCCTACAAAATAATGGTTGCCCAAAAGTTGTCTGAAGGAGATGTTGAAACTCGCAGGGCTGCATGTGATGAAATTTTGCAAAACATTCCCCCAGATTCTGTCTTCATTTCTTCTGATGAAGCCCACTTCCACTTGTGTGGAACTGTTAACAAGCAGAATTTCCGCTATTGGGCTGCAGAAAATCCTAGGGAAGTTCACCAACAACCACTACAGCCCAAAAGTCACAGTTTGGTGCGCCGTTGCGGAATTTGGTGTGTGGGGACCGTATTTTTTTGAAGAAGATGGACAAACAGTAACGGTCAATGCCGATCGCTATTGTCACATGATAGAGACATTTCTTCGACCCGAGATCAACCAATTTGTTTTAGACCATGAGGAAGAAGTTTGGTTCCAACAGGACGGAGCCACAGTTCACACCGCTCGCCGGTCCATGGAAATGTTAAGAGAGTTGTTTTCTGGACGTCTTGTGTCTTTAAGAGGAGACATTTCCTGGCCCCCACGGTCACCCGACTTATCACCTTGCGATTTCTTTCTGTGGGGCTACCTAAAGGCTGAAGTGTACAAACATCGTCCCAGAAATCTGCAAGAACTAAAACATGCCATTAGGCAGGAAGTGGCAGCCATTCCAACGGAAGTTACACGAAGAACTATGGGCAACTTCAGGGAAAGACTTCGTGAATGTCTTAACAATGGGGGACATCATTTATCAAACATAATTTTCAAAACCAAGTAAAGTGTACTAAGTGATTTAAAATGGCATCAAGTAAGCTATTCACAAATAAAATTAATTGTTCTGTATGTGTCGTATGATTTTTGCAAAAGCCTATTGAAATCAGGGACTTTTTTTTTTGAAGGACCCTGTATTTTCATTATAGTCTCATTCAGAAAGGTCCTAATGCAGCTGATGTGTCCCAAGGGATTAGGTTACTCAGTAACTGCTTAGGTTTCTTCATGTTGATTGTTGGACCTAATTTATAAAAGTATATTTTATTTAGAATAGTTCCATACTCAACTACTATTATTTTGTAATGCATTGCTAGTTTCTCCATAAGATGGCCTCTTTTCAACAGAGTGAAGGGCAGCGAGGCAGAAAAGACATACCATTGCACTGCGCACTGCCCCGGTGTTCACGGCGCCCTGCCATCACTGCCTTGTGTGAAGTGTCGCTGCCTCTTCCACCCACAGTGCATCCACCTGCCGTACTCCCTCACCCAGCTCATCACCAGCCTCACCTACAAGCTCATGTGTCCTGTCAGTGGCCAAGCTTGTTTCTTCACATGAATTGTCAATCAGCTTATCCTAAAACAGGATTGATTCCATGTATTGAAATTTATTAGTGGGTTAGATTTTGGTGACTCAACATACCATGGTATTTTTGGCTGTTCTATATTAAAAGGATGTTTTTGCGACCTAATTAAGTTGCTCACTAGCTTTTTTTTTTATCTCTGATATGTTGCATTATTCCCAGTTTCATCAGCTAGCCTGGAAATGCAATACGTAAAACTTAACATCAATTGAAATCAGCTTATACCAGTTCGTGGTTGTAATTAGAGTTTGTAAGACAGAATTTCCATCATGAAAATTTTTTTAGGTACCGCTCCTTCTGTCTGGAGGTGTTAATGTGCTGAACTATTTTTTCATAATTTCCTGGCATTACAGAACTGCTACTTGGAAACAAAACGTAGCTCAGTCAACGTGAAGGTCCCACCCAATCCAGTGACGCCCTATGAACCTTTGAGCTACGAAGACGACCCGACCACCTCCTCATACAGTGACTACTCTGATCCAGACGAAGGTGTGGGTTCTGATTTGGAGAACCTGGACCCTACGAATTCTTCCCTATTGGGTGTAGACTTACGTCCTCCCACCCCCACCACACCTGACTACTCCCTTGAGTCGTACTTCCCTCCTGCCGGTACAACCATCCAGCAGCAGAGGAACATGGCGCTAGAGGCATTGCAGAATCTTGGCTCTGCTGACAGCTCTCGCCGCGCTCCCGCTCCTGCAAGGCCTGCTGCGCCGTCCAGACAACCGCAACAACAAACCAATGCTGGTAAGCATTTGTGTGTGCTGATGAGGGTTTTAAATCTCTACGGTTCTCTACATAGTAAATTATTCCTTACCTTGACAGAAACTATTTCTATTATTGCTTATACATAAATCAGTTTCTTTAGGTATGGTTTATTTCACAATTACTTTGCATTCCACATGATACTTATAATCTATTTCCATTGTATTTAATACAATCTAAGCTCTACCTGGGAAAAAGCTCAGGTAGAGCTTTTTCCAGAACAAACAAAAAGAACAAAATCAGAAGAACGAAACGATTCCGCCTAACAGGAGGCTGCATGATTAACATCCAGAGTCTTGGTGTGTACCATTAAAGTATTTTTCATTTCAGCTGGAAATTTGGGTACGCCATCGTACACTCTGCTCCCCAAAAGCTCGACTTCTTTGCATCAGCCTAAGACGTTTCAAAGAAACTCTCAACCACAGCATCTTCTCTTGTCTGCTATGCAGCAGTCATCAATGCAGCAGTCCTCTTTGGTTCCTCTTCATGATCAGTACATGCAGAGCCAGGAGCACATGCTAGCTCAGGCCGAATATCAGCAGCAGCAAAATATTCCGGGCTTCCTGCAAAATGTTATGACTTCTTACCAAATGCTTGAGAAAATGAAAGTGCCAGAACCTCCAGTGACGATTCCTACAGAGCCAGTTCCAAGCTTCAAGGTAGACGCAAAATGCATCTCTATTACAGAAATTTTGTATAGGTAGTATTTTTTTTAATATTGTAATCCATAGTGTCAATGTTCATGAAGTTTTTTTCTCGTCTGAGACCCGCCATCTTGTATTGAAGTAACTCATAATAAAAAATTTGGCAGTGATAAAACAAACATCTAGATAATTAACGAGTCCTTAGTGAAATAGGGAATAGTATAATGAAGAGATAAAGGTTATAATTATGTTCAGAACTATGCACGGGACGTAAGCCTGGGCTACGGCGTGATGAAGCTTGTACTCGCTCGACTGCCTCCGCTCGACCTTCTCCGCGCTGCCCAAACCTGTGTCATGTGGAGAGACCTTGCACTGGGTCCTGACATGGTGAGAACTACGAGGCATGCTTGCCAGGCCACGATCTGTGTTGCTGGATATTGCGGGAACTGTTGAATTATGTCCTGTCATAGTTTTAACGTCGTTGCATGGTAGTTATTGTCATAAATATGTAACTGGTTTCTGGGTGTCTCGACATCGTTCACTGAGCTTAGCTTGATCTATACGACATGGGAGAGTAAGAATGAAAGGCCTAACTTCCTCGCAAAGCAAACTTGTAAAACAAATTGTGGTGAAGTACTTTTGAAATTTTCGGTCATAATTAAATTATTAAGTTTGCTGTCAAGCCGTCAGTAAATAACATTTTTGCACAATTTGAACAGAATACTATTGATACCGAATGCTAAATCAATTCATATGAATTTTTTTATCGTCAGCGGAGAACACGCACGGCACTCATTGATAAAGTGATCAAAACCTGTGCTGAATGCCTGGACTTCACTAGGCATTGATTTACAATCCATGAAATTTAAATCAGACTACTCTTTGTACATTATTCAATATTTGAAGGTATGAAATGAATACAAATATTATTTTATTAAAGTTAACTTTTCTACAGTGTGCTCATGAATGTATTTGTTGTAGTGGGCTGGCGTGCGACTTACTCATCTGACGTGCCGCGTGAAGAGCTGGCGCTCGCTGGCCGTGTTCCTGGACGCCCGGCGCTGCCGGTCCCTTGCCGTCACGGGGCCTCTCATGAGCGTCTCCCAAACGCAGGTCTTAAAAACATCTGACAAGTTTTCTTTGTTCAGATGGAAATAACTATTTTTTTATTACTGTTGCATCCTGCCAGTGGAATATAATGGTTTATGTATCCTTGTGAAATTTCAGGTTAATTCTTGCCCGGTTCTTATTCAACCAAGTTCACCGAAGCTGTCGTCTATTATCAGCGAGTTTATGCCTGTAGAATTTTTATTGCAATTACTATGGACAGAATAATGAATTCCTGTAAAGTAACCAATGTTTTCCTCAGGTCGTGGAAAAGAATTCCAAGAAGATAACCCAGGCCCCTGGACTTGAGGCCCACCCGCCAGTGATGAATATGGTGGCTCATGAAGGTGATCCAGCGGGGAGAACTCCATCAAATGCTGATGTTGGGAGCACCTCTCCTGCATCTTTGCGAGACTCGGGAGCTTCTCCTACTGTTGTAAGTGACCAAGATGATGATGATGATGAGCCCATGGAGATTGACCAGGATTCGGTCACTCCTGGTGCAGCGACTGAGGCCTACGACAGGGATGGCCAAGACGAGGCCGAGCGGGATAGACGACGCTTGGATACTGTGCTGCAGGATTTGGAATCTCCCTCTAAAGATGATTCTACTTCTGAGTCAGAAGAACTTGACGTTACGGCCGATTTTCCGACGTCTTCAGATGGACTGTCAGCTTCTGTTCTCCTTGCTCGATCTGAGAATGAGGTAACTGACATCTCCAGCACAAATATACAGAAAGTCATGGGCGATAAGTCTGATGATGTGTCGTCCAAAGACACACAGGAAGCCATTGTAAAGGAGACACCTGCCAAATCTCTCGAAGAGATACAGGAAACCATTGACAAGGAGACACCTGCCAAATTGCTCGAAGATGCACAGGAAATCATTGACAAGGAGACACCTGCCAAGTCCCTCGAAGAGATGCAGGAAACAATTGACAAGGAGACACCTGCCAAGTCCCTCGAAGAGATGCAGGAAACCATTGACAAGGAGACACCTGCCAAATTGCTCGAAGATGCACAGGAAATCATTGACAAGGAGACACCTGCCAAGTCCCTCGAAGAGATGCAGGAAACAATTGACAAGGAGACACCTGCCAAGTCCCTCGAAGAGATGCAGGAAACAATTGACAAGGAGACACCTGCCAAGTCCCTCGAAGAGATACAGGAAACCATTGATAACGAGACACATGCCAAGTTTCTCGAAAGGATACAGGAAACTGTTGACAAAAAGACATCTGCCAAGTCCCTCGAAGAGATACAGGAAACCATTGACAAGGAGACACCTGCCAAGTCCCTCGAAGAGATACAGGAAACCATTGACAAGGAAACACATGCCAAGTTTCTCGAAGAGATACAGGAAACTGTTGGCAAAAAGACATCTGCCAAGTCCCTCGAAGAGACACAGGAAGACATTGACCAAGAGACACCTGCCAAGTCCCTCGAAGATGCACAGGAAACCGTTGACAAGGAAACAACTGCCAAGGCCTCCAAAGATACTCTTGAAACCAATGACGAAGTGATACCTGCAAAATCTCTCGAAAGTACTCAGAGAACCTTTGAGGAAGAGATGCCTGCGGATTCACGCTCAAATAAAGACATTGATGAAGAAACACCTGTTGAGTCTCCTGAAGATAAACAAGGTACCCTTGCTGCGGACACAACAGAAAAAGTAAGCGAGACTGAGGATTCTGTAAAAATTAGCCCATTAAGTGATTTGGCTGAGGAAAAAATTGAAGAAGAGGTAAAGACAGTGGCATCAACCATGTGCGAGATTTCAAATGGAGCAACAGGCAATGCTGAAGCTCCAGAAAGTAGAACTATCGACAATGAGATGACGAATATCAAAGGGTTTCCTCTCGTCTCTGTCATACCAATCAATCCTTCTGCTCTTGTTGATCTCGAATTCCTTGAAAAATCTCCAGAAGGAAAACGGAGTATCGCGGCAAAAGAAAGAATGGCAGAGTTAGTTTCCCAAGACTTGAGCGGCAATGAAAGCGGAGACGCCTTGCAAGGACCGCTTGTTTCATCGCAGGAGGACGAGGCTATGGATGTCGAGGAATCATTTCCAATTGACAAATATATTGGTGCGGTATTTCCAAACAAGGAGCCAATTGAAATGCCTGAGTCATCTTCTGAAGTTGATGTCCAAGCAGCGAATATTGATTATGTTATGATGGACCTCGATTCGTCAGTTGAGGACTTTAAAGAGGTTCTAAACCCCAGCTCCATTGGTGATGTTTCGGATGGATGTAGGACCAAGGAAAAGGATGGGGAAAATATTACTCGTGGTGCCTACCCTGACGTATTTGAAGTAACTAATGAAGAAGAACATCATTCTACGGAAGTATTTGCGCCCGACCCAACTTTATTAAGCTCAAATGGCGGCAGTCCCAAAGACTTTAAAAAGGAAGATAAATCATTAACTACTAATGAAGAAGTCGAAGTGTCGGATAAAAAATCGTTGACATTTGCAGAAAATTCAGCTACCAGCATTTCAGCACGTCACGGAGAAAATGAAGTCTCTGCATCTTGTGCTTTGTCTCAGGCAGAAGCCAAGGCGGTCGAAATGCTGGTTTCGTGTGCTGTGATATCAAGCGAAATTGGTTGTCACAAAGAGTCTTCTGGAAGTAATGCGATGGGTCCAAGTATTGTTAAAGGTGAAGCATATTCTTCCGAGTCCAGTGCTGACGCTCTTCTTGATGAGAAAGCTAAGCCTGATATAAGCATTCTTCATGACAGCACCACAAAATTGGCCACCTCAGATGACCCCACAATGCCGCCCAAGGAAGAATCACGTGATGTACAGCTCGGCTCCATGGATATTGACGAACTACATCCTCCTTGTGAATCCTCCGAGATGGAAAGGTTGTCTCAAGTTCATCAGAAGACCACAGCACTTTTAAAAGTTGAGCGCCAATCGCAGTCCCCCGAATTGGAAGTATTATCAACTTTCTCGAGTTTGCATGCAGCTCAAGAAATAACTTCATCTGTCAAGATTGATGTTGTCGAAGAGCCAGCCGTTAATGCCATCACTGATAGAACAGAAGAAGTTAAGGGGGAATTGGCTGAATTGCCATCCAGCAATGATGACGTAAGTGAGGAACAAAGTAATGTGGACATGAAGCAACTGTCGTCAACAATGGGTTCTCAAAATCCCATTTTAGTTCCAGATTCTCCTGTTGCTGTTGACATCGGGACGTATCATGCAGAAGTTTCTCACGTCAACAACAAAGCTGATGTGTTTGCTGCTGGTACAAAGGTTGAAACATCAGCCGAGTCAGCTCCCTCTGATACCTCGCCACGTAACACTTTTAAAAGCCCCAAGATGTCAGGAGGTCATTTGGCTGGTGATGTCACCATCGAGTTGACAGATCAATCTGAAGATGAATCGTCAAGCTCCCAAGATGACTTAACGATATTGCCCGATAAAACCTCTGCAGTTGATCAGGTCAACTCTTCTGGCCAAAGAAATGAAGATGAAGTCAGTTCGGAATCTGAAATCGAGATTGAGCCTGAACGCCATATGAAAGTTGAACAACATGGCAACATTAGGAGTGAATCCCAAATGGATGTTGACGATTTAGAAGATGTGGGCACTCGCAGTGGAAAATTCAATGAAATTCCTGTGGAAGAAATTGAATCAGAGACTGAGCTAGGGATGTCCAATGAGTTAAGAGAAGAAGAAGAAGATGTAGAAGGAGAAGATGCTGCTGATGAAGAAAGACCATTAAGTAAGTATATTTTTAAGGATCAGATATGATAATGAAAATAATTTCCCATCTCGGTTACTTATATATATTTACTAGCATGGAGTTTTCCTTTATTAGCTTGGCATTGTTTTTTTTTTACTAACTGGTTGTCGTAGCAGTTACTAGGTATCATGATTTTTATCTAATTTTGAGGATAAAACATCTCGAGTTTTAGTTGTTTCTTATGGGACCTCTCCTCGATAATTGTCGGCTTCAAATATTGTTGCCAACTGACGTCATCACCTGGACTTCTGGAGGTACTGAGATCTTCACCTACCGTACTATGCTCGATAATGCCCTTATTCTAAAATAATTTAAATGAATCAAAAAGGCACGATGGCAAATACTGCTCAGAATTTGCTACGTGACAATAGGCTTCCTAAAATGAGCATGCTTCATTATGAATAATTATATGCCTGGAAGGAATTTAATTCTTATCGTTTTGTTTGGTCAGCGTCGGTGTGGGAAGAAGCTTGTAGAAGTGTAGGGCTCATGCAGCACCTGAGGAAGCTGCAATTGACAGAGTGTGGTGAAGACCTGCTGGAACACCTACTCCCCCATTGCTCCAGACTCACCGCTCTCCACATCTCCAAACTCGGCGACAAACACTCTAATTTACTTCTCAGGTGTCTGTCTCTAATTTTTAATTTAAATTTTTTTACATCTCAGGTGTAATTTCTCTAATTTTTCTCATTTATTTTGAATATTATTGTCCGGCAGCTCAAACTTAATTATTTGTTAGTTGAATGCGCATTTCGGATGATTACCTACCCTTACCTGATAATGCAAACTTTTCGTTTTGCTGTCAGTCTATCATGCCATAATTTGTACTATTGGAAGTTATAAGTTATATTTGTTTTGTTTACTTGTCAACCGGGAAATGTGTTCCAACTATAATAATTTTAATTTTTAGATATAGTTATGGAAACAAAACGTATTCAATCCTCGTGCATTCCAGTTAGAGCTATTACGAATGGACTCGAGTTCATCTTCACCATCGTGGTAATATCATTATATTCTTCATATCAATACCATTTTCATGAATGTTCTACACACAGACTTGACCCGAACTTGCTGCTCAACGCCGTTGCTCTGGAAGACCTGCACCTCTCTGGACACTTTACCTTCACCTCGAATTTCAACTTCATTAAGCTCCGCAAACTCAAGAAGCTCGTAAGTTAGCGAGCCGTTTGAGGAATATTTTCAATCTCAGTTTAAAATTTTTAAACTGAAATATGAATAATACTTTCATTCATTTTTTTATTATGGTTATGCCTGAGCTTTATATTGCAACTGTTGGGGTAACTTGACCTTGACAAATGAAACACCTGGCACATTTGTTTATTTTTGCAACATTGGCTGCATTTCTTGACTATTATGATAATTTAACGCGTAAAAAGTTTTTAATAAATTTATATACCTCCTCCAAAACTTGAAAGCCCGTATGTGCGAATCTATCTCGTAGAATTGGTGTAACCTTTGGGCACATGGTATGGTGCCAAGGGTTCTTTACGGACCAGTAAGGAGCGCCTTTGTGTTGTTGAGTCATTTAACGCTTGCCAGTGTTACTCTTGAGGAGCGGCCGTGTGCTACTGAACTTCCTAATGCGATGCCAGGGTTCTCTACAAACCCATAAGTTACGCTAGCATATTTTTCAATTTCTTGATGTCGTACCCAGGTTGCTTTTCATGCTTGTTTGACCTCGAATATTTGTTTACAGGGCCTCGTTGGTGCCCAGTTGCCTCTTTGGCCTCACCTCGGCACCAGCCTCACTCACCTCTATTTAAGTCCCGTGAGCCGCTTCACTTCTGACACCTGGAATAACATTGCCGCCATGAATAGTGAGTTTTCAAAGCGTATTGTCTTCTGTGCTGCATTGTTGTAATTGCCATGTTGTGTTAAAAAAGTGGAAGTCTGCAACACATTCACAACATTCGTGCTAACTTAGTTTGCATTCAACATTAACCTTTGACCTGATGTGGTATGGTACGCGCTGTGCACACACCTGTTTCTTAACAACTTTAACGTTTGGCCTGAAGGATTGTGGTACACGTTGTGCACACACCTAGTTTGTGTCTAACTTTAACTTATGTCCCGACTTAGTTGTGGCAGTTATGTACATGATCAATTATTATCCATCTTTAACGCTTGTCCTGTTGTGGATGATCAGGTCTGGTGGAGCTGAGCCTAGGGGAGTTCAGCGAGGGCGTGTCTGACAGCAGCTGGCATGTTTCCCTGTCGCGGTTAACCCAACTACGGAAACTGGCGCTTACAGACTGTGCCCTGGGGCCACGGCTCCTGGTGCTGCTTAAGAAGTTCTCTGCTCTACAGAAAGTGGTTCTCAAGCCGCTGTCGCAGCACCCAACTCTGAGTGTTAGTTTTATGCTCATTAGTTCTTTGTTGTGTCTTCACCAATTTCCGTTTAAATGGATAAAGGTACTTGTGAATTAAATTCTCCTTTGTATTATTCTCCTTTTAGGTATTAAATTCTCTTTTCCTAAATGAAATGGAAAAGATATTAAATTATCCTTGCTCAAATTTGCTTATTGTACTTATGATTGTTTGTCGTTAGTGAAAGGTTCTGATTTATTCTGTGGAAGTGAAAATTTTCAATTGATTTAAATTAATTATCATCTTTGCTTATTTTAATTTCTTTTAATTCAGTAAGTTAACAGTATCATGAAAATCAAATCCGAGCTCTGTATCTGCGATAATTGCTAGTGCCTATTTTTTTTTTTTTTGGACCTCATTATACCAAATGAAAATCTGTTCTCATTATAACAATAGAAAATGACTCAGATATAGTATTTTTAGTTGTTAATCATTGTGTGTGCAGTTGCCTGATCAGCTGTGGCGCGTGAAGCACGTATGGACGCTGCTGCCGACATCGCTACGTCTCTTGTGCGACGTTCACGACCTCACTGTCGCTCCCGCACCCAATGACCCTACCCCTCGACAAGGACTTGTTTTTGCTGTGAGACTTCATGCTACTTGCTTTTCGTCTAAAATACTATACTAATTTATTGTGGCGCTGTACAAACTTCTTCCTTTTATTGAAAATTTTATTTGGGTACATTCTGCTAACTTTTGCTTTTTATTTGAAAAAAAATGCGATTGCCTTGTATGATTCAAGTAACAAACAATTACATATTTATCTACCCAAAGCTTGTACTTGTCCCGTTATTCAGTAATTCTCCGGATTTTCTAAACCGTTTCTGCATTTTATTCTTATACAAAAGTCATACTTGTAATTTTCAATTTCGAGTTCAGAAATAATAACTCATTTGGACCTGCTTGAATTTTTTTATAAATAAACATTTTCCGCATTCTTTTGACGCTATCTGTAATGAAAATATTGGTTTAAGATTCTACGCACTAGCTTACTGTGGATGAACGGTTATTTCTTTCTTACTTGTAAATTAATGAACTAATCATCATAAGAAAACTTCAAAAGTTATTATTTATGTCTTGTGCATGCAGATCAGCGGCAGTAAATCAACAGACCAGGATGGACGGCAGTCGTCCTCCCTCCAGCACGTGGCTCTTGACAAGCTGCCTCGGTTCTTCTCACGACGCTCTAGTGCGCGCTCTGCTGTCTTCACCTTCAGGGTCCTGGCTGAGGGAGAGACTCCGGTCTTCCCCGAGTACTTCTGTGGATAGAAGATCAAACTTTCCATCGCTGGGAATCATAAAGTTTTGACACCTTTGTGCTCGTTTACTATTCAAGAATTTAAATTTACCTTAGATGTTTTGGTTAAAAAAATGAAATTTGTTGGGTCAGCGTAAGCTTTTTTTTTCAATAGTTATTTTTTATTGACAGTATGGATGACTTTTGGGCTAGTCCTTTAAGTGAAACTCTGGCCAATATCAAGGAATTTTCGCCCATTAAATGTTACCGTATCAATCGCTCTGGTTTAGATTCGAAATTTCTCTTCATGTGTTACTACATTCATTCATAAGAGCCTTCATCCACATTTCATTTAGGAGTATATAACAGTTCGTCTCCAAAATTTTTGCAGAATTTTCATGAATTAGAAGCATATCTACGAAGAAGAAGGACGCTTTAGAAGTGCCGGAATGATTATTCCGAGTCGATTGCCATGACTATGACACGATCGGCTAAATTGCAGTCCGTGTTTGTAAATTTAGTTTGAAAAAATTTGTGACTTTGAAATCAACTACAGTATTTCATTTTTTTATATTATTGATAAGCCATAGAGGCGCATGCAGCTTGAATGACCTGTGATCAACTGCTGCCATTGCGATGTCACTTAGCGTCTATGACGAAATTTTAGATTTTACTAAATTTATTATTCACTGATGAGTAACAAACGCGTGTTAGATTGACTTCTTTAAGAGCAAATTATTCCTAGTTTTTGTACTCTACGCCTTAACTTGGTTATCAGTGAAACATACATACGAAAAAGTGAAATACATAGCCGCTTTGTAGTAATACTCGTGTCGTTTTTTCCTCCATCAGGTGAAAGATTAGCTTTCTGTCCGTTCTTTCGATCCGCAAGAGGCACTGGCACGAAAAAAGTCAGTAATTTCTCAATCATCATATAAATATTTGAAGATTTTCTGCTTAAATCTTCGTGAAATTTAATTGAATCCTGTTTCAAAATGAATTTCTTGAATCTTCTGCAGAAATGATTCAATTCAAGCCTGTGAACCTGTCCCTTTGCTCGGCTCTCAATTAATTTATATTAAGTGCGACTCGTATGATTTGCCACTGATTGTGTGAGTAGACATCTGACTTTCTTTTGTTTGTAAATCTGGACAAATTGATGCTCGTGCTAGTGCCTGGGGCATGCAAGGACGTTCCCCCGGAAACTGAGTCCTCTGGTTGAATAAACCTGATGAATTGAGTAATTGTCCCCTCGTTAGATGTTCTGTTTTTTTAATGATTTAGACCTTAGACCTGCAAAACTGAACGTAATACAATGAAGTTTTTGGCTAAGTTGTCTTATATTCACTTGTAGATTCAGACCGAAAATTGGTCGCGCTCGAATGCTAGTTTTATTTTTTTGGCACCATTGTGGTACAGCAAACAGGGATCGGGTATCTCTTTTAGTTTCAATCCGCTTAGATACTTGATGAAAGATCAACTAAGCAAGGCCATTGTCACTTCCAAGAATCCTTCGTCTGAAACAACGCTCACGTATTCGCCTCGGCACTCGAAACAAGCAATGGGTTTCGAATTGATTTCGACACCAAAACCGATTGACAATTGAACTTCAGAGCATGTGTTGACTATAACAACCCAAACAGAATGCCAATATGGTGAACGATGACAAGCAGATGTCCTGCTTTGGCTGCTTAAAAGCGTATTAGCAAATCGATATAGTGGCAGAGCGGCATAGTCTTCCCCTCAGGGGGGACTTCTGTAGTGTGTCTGTGCTCGTCAGAAGTCCTATGGGATTTCACGTTCCCAGGGGGATTGTTCCTGAGCGCCTCGCCGCTGAGCTCGCGGTGTCTGACTTCGTATCTCAGTTGTGGGGTTAAGTTATCATGTAGATAGGATTCCTTACATTTCCCTTCTTGTCTCTCTGTCTCCAAATGCTGTCGGCCTGCCTGCGGTTGGAGCGCGACCCGGACATAGAATAGAATAAAAGTGTCCGCGTTGAAGAAATAGGCCCATGGCCTGTTGCCGATTCTTGAACTTTTCGTGACTTGATTCACAAGGGATCCGGCCTTTGGAACCCGATCTAGATTTAAACAAATTACGTTTCAAACCAATAACGAGATCATTTACATCCTTAAACAAAGAATTCAGGCATATATCTATGGTTTCATGAAGAGGCACATTAGTAAATAAATTTTCCACGTCAAAAGAGGCCATAGTTAGGTCTTGAACGTTCGTAAAATCTTTTAGGCAGTCCACAAACGTATAAGAATTGTCTACAGTATACTTATTAGTCGTGAGACTAATAAGTACTAGTCTCACGACTTATTAGTCGTGAGACTAAAACTTCTGTTTTCTAAGTATTTCGCAAATATTAACCTACGTGTTATATTGGTCAACCATTTTAAAATCGGTTCTTTTTTTAGGTACAAAGATACTCTCCCTATGCATATGCGAGCGTCCCTAGTTTATGAATATAGTTGTGCACGATGTGCATCTGCGTACGTCGGGATGACGTCTCGCAATCTTTATTCTAGGGTCGCAGAACATAAGGGCAGAAGTTGTAGAACTGGTAACTTACTATCGCGCCCCCCTCATTCAGCTCTGCGGACTCACGCCGAGCAGTGCGATGTCCCAGTGTCTGACAGTGACTTCAAAGATTTAGCTTCCAGTTCCGGTTGTTTCTGATTTGCGCATTTTAGAATCATTGTATATTTTTAAACAGAGGCCTAGTTTGAATTTAGCTTTTAGCTCTTACCCGCTGGAAATTGTAAATAGATAGGTTTTACAGTTTAGGTTTTTTTTTGTTGCAATCATGACTGTACTAATTACTGATTTATCTGTGTTCTAGAATTTTCGAACTGGCGACGGAGCTGGACTCCGAAACGTTTTCTTTAAAGAAACTATGAATTTTTGTGGAGTTTTCTTTGCTTTTAAGTTTTTAGTGAAATTCAGTCATTCACTGACACGGATCATAAAAAAAATGCAAAAAGAGTTCCGAAAACGGCACAGTTAAAGTTAAAAGTTGAAAATCTGGGACCGCAAAACACGAGCGTCCGCTCTCGACCACGGCTGAAACTTGTTTCCTCATGGGTCCAAATCGACAGCCAACTTATCCCCGTCCTCCGAAAGGAGGGCCCGAAGCCCATGTTGTTTTAACTGGGTCTAGGCCCCGCCTCGCGCTGTGAAGCGAGCCGGGGGAGGTCAATAACAACAACGGCAGCATATCTTCGTTTGTTCCGGAACGAGCCCAGTAAAGTGCTCAAGGCCGAGAGGGAGAAATGTTTCTCGTGGGAAATGAAGCAGTTGAGTTATTGCCATGTTTATCTGTCACCGTCGAGCCAAATGATTCTTGGAACGAAACAGCCATTTGAAGCTCGAACGATTGTGGTTGCTACACTGGCTGAACTGAACGTTCCTTCCTAGTGACAAGCAGGACACTTCAATGCTACATGTCCTAGTCCTCACTATGCTGTCAAGCTCATTGCTCGGTAACTTTGTGCACATAAAATGAATATCACGTTGAACACCACCGAATTAAAGTCGCAATAGATAAATTAAAATTTTTAGGAGCCTGTCCTTATGTTGTAGTTTCCGCATAATAAATGTCGTTATATTAGTGCACGAGGCAATGAAATACATGAAATTCGACGTGTACGATCATAATAAATCCAAAATCATCCCCGTGTAGGCAAGTGTGAGGATTCTTCATTTAAATGAGCTTACCCATGTCGGGATGGTGAAACTAACACAATAATAACAGTTGTACTTGTATTTTTTCTAGTTTTTTTTTATGCAACACGAGAAATGTAGTTCAAGTCGAATTCTCATGATCTGCTAGGTAAACCAAATAATAATAAAAACAAGTTGACATTCAGGTCAGTGTTGATATAATCTAGGCTCGTGAGCTAAAGAAGAAAAGTGTCAGTGGCAACGAGCATCGACAGAATTGTTAGTGGCAACGAGCGGTGACAATACCATTAGTGGAAACGAGGGGTGAAAGTACCATTAGTGGCAACGAGTGGCTACAGAATTGTTGGTGGCAGCGAGCGGTGACTGTGTCGTTGTGGCAACGAGCGCTGACATGACTCTTCAGGCGAAGCTACGTGTTGCTGAGCTCAAGGTGCTGAAGCGGGAGGAAGAGACTCTCAAGACCCTCCTTAGTAAATACAAGTACCAGCTCAATGCCTTAAAGGTAAGAAAGCGTATGAAGTTACAAAATATCCTGCATTCAATAACACAGCAACCTTATCACTTGAATCTTCTCGTATCGAATATGATGGTACACTGTTGGGTCCGTCATATCTTGTCTAAAACTAAGTTAATTCATATTGTGCATCTTATTAAATCCATAACGTTACTGCTTTAGCATCAAATTACTTTTATCATAACTCTTTATAAGATTGTTTTGATATGAAATCAGCAACAAACAGCCTCAGTATCCTAAAATTGATGGAATGTTCATCATGGTCAATTACTCGCTAACGTGGGTTCGTTCTATCGGCCTGAAATTGTACGGGTGTGGGAGAACTGTCTTGTGACAACACGCTCCACCCAACAACTGATATCTCTGTGCGTGGCAATAATCCTTGATCTTCTCAGTTTTTCTGAGTTTCAAGTAGTGACGAGTTGTATTCCACGAAATTCCAAGTTCGTACACTTGCGTTCAGGTGGAGGAGTTCACGCTGTTGACGCAGCTAGGCAAGGCGCAGGATCGCGAGAGACGGTCTCGCAACAGCACACCGAACAGCGGCGGCGCGCACCACAGCGACTCGAGACCACCTTCTGTCGCTGCACGAGGGGTCAGTTCACTACTATCCACACTAAATTTTCTCGGACTGCGTCATCTTTATATTTTTTGTCCTGTATTTTGGTTTCTTATTCACCAATATATATTGACAATATATTCATTCGACATTTAGTTCCAGTTTTTCTTACTGCATAAAAAGTGCATATGTTTGAAACCCCTAAGGAATGGGCGCGTTTAGCTCGTCAAAAGTGCTGGGACCTTTGCATTGTCATGGACGAGGTTAATGAGCGCGCCACGACAGATGGATCTCATTTTGAGATGTTATGAAGGCAGGATGGATATATTGCTCTTATCTGCAGGATATTTAAACTTTCTGTCCTACAGAAGGCAGAGCCGCCGCATCGCGTCAGCAATTTCTTATACGTATTTATTCGTTTGCATGGCTCTATTTCTTCGTTCCTTTTGTTGCCTTCCATTATTACATTCTTCGTCTTCCTTAATGACCATTTGAGCCTTCTTCGTTTCTGCTACGATTATACTATCCCTTCCTTGTCTTCTTGAAATGCTAACGCTGCCAGCCTGCGTTCGCCGGTTGTCATAGTCTGATGTTAATGTATAAATTTCTAGTCATAAAATCTCACTTCCGGTGTGAGAAAATTTGTGGAAAGCCCCACAACTTCCCCAAATACCTTGAATTTATTAGTTTCATAGTTAGAATTCATTGAAATCCGCAAACAAACAATCTGCCAGGGTGGCCCAGTGGTTAAGTTCAGAGTACCAGGATTGCAGCAGAGAGGCGCGGGTTCAATCCCAGCTCTGTGCGCCAGTTTCTGGTCAGAATCGGCAACGAGGCCGGGCGGTTAAACACAGCAGAATTGTTGCAGTGAGTTGCTAGTTCGAGACCGCAACCAGCTGTGGATATTATTCGATCTTAAGAATCGGCGACAGGCCGCTGAAACCGCTGTTATTATTATTATTATTATATAGAATAAAATTGGTCACCATTATTAAAAAAGTTAAGTGGGTTAGTTAGTAGCTTCTACCCGCGGCATAGTTCTAGCGAAGAAATTGCCGTCAAAGGACTAAGGTACGGATGATTGATTCGGTTTCAGGCACTGGCATTTGACGTGGCATACAGATAATGGGACTTCAACATGCAAGTTATACTCAATTCGATTCACCCTAACCATCTTTTTCTTAAGCATCAATATTTTAGTTGAGTTAGCGCGGCTTTATTCAATTCCTTCTTCCTCAGTCTCGAATCCATTGCCAGGTTAGAAAACAATGTTCCATTTAAAAAATTAATTGGTTCCCATTTAGAAGCTCCCCTGTCGATTTTCAGGATTGAACGCGTTGAATGGAAGCCATAATTTCTGCCTGGGAATTAATTTCGTAGCTTAAATTCACCCTCACGCCTCGTGCAGTCTCGACTGTCGAGCAGAGCCAGCTCGACTGAGACGCCTCCGCTCTCTGAACACGGATCAGTGGTCGGAGAAACTCCGCCGCATGGCTCTCCGTTTCCCGAGTGAGTCCACAATTCTTGTGTTCAGAAATAATTGTATAGCGATAATATTAATTGTATAATTGTTATTGAATTTGAATTGAAGTGCGATAATTGTATAATAACCCGCACTTCATTAGAAGTTCTTACTACCTCGTACGTTGTAACGCTTGAGTGCTCGAGTTGGTTTGTGCCCAGCAATAACATGAAATTTTATGTAAACATGTTACGGTTTCTAAATGGAGCTGGGTGTTCTCATAGAGCACTCCATATGCTATGAACTAAAACTCTAATGCGGCTCCTACAAATTATATCCAGCAGACATCTGATTTTGCCGAAATTTTAATTGCCAACGATGGTTGTATATCAGTATTATTTTAATGCTAACCTTGTGCATAAATTGAACATTTCATGTTGGCGCGTTTGGATAACTTGAACAATTTTCATGTTCGTTGCAGGGATATTTGAACGAATATTCACTGCACGATGGACCATCGCCTGCAGTTTCCGCTCATCAGCGTACCTGACCAGTGATGAAGCAGCTTTAAACTTCATTCGTTCTTTTACAAGAGAGGAAATTTTATTAAGTGATGTATCACATTTAATTTACTGACTGTGAGTAGAAATAAAATTTTTGCAGAAATTTGTGCAAATTTCATTTTCTGTACCTCCTTTATACGTTCATGTTAACGTCTACCTCGGTACATCCATTCGTAGAAGCCAACAATAAATGCCTTAATAGAAACCCAAAATTTGACAGCCATAACCCATTGCAAGTAGAGAAATATTAGTAGGAAATATTAGTAGTAGTAGGAAATCCAAAACTCGGCATAATGCGGACAAATACATCATCTGTTGCAACACAGATTGACGTCTTAAGATTAACACGAAAACTTTAGCGTATGCATGGAAATTATGACGCGGAACGTTTCTTCTTGAAGCATGTTCATGAAATTACAAATCCATTCAGATCGTGACACACGAAGTGTCTTTGCTTTGCAATTTAACGGGTTAATTTTGTAATCATAATATGTAACGGTTATAAATAGTTGTCAACGGGCAAAAATCGTGTTGCCAGCAGCAATGTATCGACTTATAGCATTGGTTAAAGACCGTGAAATGCGACCATAATAACGTATATTTTTCAAAGTGTAATTGAAACTTAAAAATCCGGCAGCATTGTTACATTAACTCAACTGGTACAGAATTTCAAATTAATCTACAGCAAACATTTCTCTTCAATGCAAAATCCTATCTTGTTTGAAGAAACGCTTCATAGTCGGTATTGTCGTATTTGCAATTCACGATTATTCTGAACTTACTGTCTATGCAATAATTGATAACTTGATCCATTTACTAGAAGAGTTTAGATAATTGATGTTCTTCGAATCAAGATGGAATGATGTCAATTGTTGCAGAATAGTAAAGACCAGAGTAGTCAACTACTGCAACAAGACGCGCCACTACATAAAATCAAACATAAGTTCTAGAGTGTACACAGTCCCAGATACATTATGGCTAGGAAAAGAGATGTACCTTGCCCATATCGGGCTCAAAACTTCTTCATATCTATCAGTGCTAACGCTAATGAATAAATGTGAACAAGCGAGTCTCGCGATCGTTATAAGTCACGGCTCTGTGAAGATATTCATTGTAAATACGAGAATATTGACCACACAAAAGGCCCATCAACGCCTTCTTACGAGAGATTAAACCTTAGAAATAATAATTAATGCAGTTAACGTAAATTTGATGAACAGTAATTACAAAATTAATAGGCTTGACCATCAATGGGAGAGGATATTAGAAGTCTTCCTCGTTTTAGGTGTAGCCTACAAAATGGTGCGCATAAATTTCAGAATTAACGACTTAACCGAGTGTCAAGCAGAAACGAAGCTCACAATACGGGAACAAGCGAGACCGAATTACAAACCAGTTTTCAACAGACCGGATCTGGTGCAGAAAAAACTATAATAGAAAATTGCAAAATGAAACGTTCACTGTAAGCGCATTTGAAGAGCAAATGCACCTTCCCAACAAGTACTCTCGAACATTCTAAACACTCCAGACGATTCAAGACAGCTGAGTTCATAGTATTATTGATGGCAATAGCGCGATGCTCTTATTGTTTTTGTACTGCAACAGACAAATGTGTGGATCAACATTGAATTAACGTTTTAGGTGACGGCAACAGCGATCAAGTTACTACATGGTATCCTCGTCATCAGCGCGGCTGTTCTCATCGTGGTCACCCCCGTGACTGTGGGGCGAGTCGTCTTTGCTGTTCGCAGGAGAGCGACTGCGCGACGAACGACGCTCGTCTTCCATCCCCGCATCATCATTCGCAGAACTGTCACGACAGGAAAATTATCACACAAGATGCTTATAACTATTAATAATAATATCGCTACACGTCTAAATACTACGTGCACTATAATTTCAAAGCATATTTGGCACCTATTCGTAAGTGTACGTCTATCTGAGACTCGAAAGTATACTACTGCAAATAGACAGAAAAATTATACCTACTCATAAAAAGACGTAGCAATGAAATAATTATTTCTATCACCCGCAGCTTACTCACAGACTTTTGATGACCATAACGACAGTTAGCTACATATACTTAAACAGTGTAACATCATATTACTCAAAGTGTGCGCAAGGCCAATGAGAGTAATGTACTCACCGAGACCGCGACCGAGATCGAGATCGCTCTGCCCTACGAGGCGACGCGGAAGCTGCTCGTTCGTTCTCGCGTTCAGCCGAACGAGACTTCGATCGAGATGCGTCGCGCTCGCGGGATTTAGAACGATCAGGTTCCTTTGAAGCAGATCTGTCTCGCGGCTTCGACGCAGATCGATCTCGAGATTTGGACTTGGATCGATCACGTGAATCGCGTCGGTCATCTTTCTTGTCACGTGAACGTGAGCGAGACTTGCGGTCACGTGAGCGCGACCTGGACTTCTTGTCGCGAGACTTGGAACGCGAGCGCGAGTGCTTGCGGTCTCCAGACTTCGAGCGAGACCTCGACCGCGAGCGAGACCCAGAGCGACTTCTCGAGCGACGTCTGAAATGACAGTAAAGAAATTTGAAATTATCTCTAACGACGCTTTCCAGCTGATAATTAATGACGATTATAAAATAGTCACCGGTTAAGCGTGGGAAGGGCTTTTTTGGAGTCAAAATCCAAAGGATGGATGAAACGGAGGCGTTTTCTTTCATTCAGATTCATTTGGACATATTTTAAGAATTCGAACTAATTTATATGATGTATCTAGCTGAAACGTAGCTAAAATGTATTAGTAAAATTCACGAGCATTTCAACCTTACAGTGTGAATATCACAACAGCAGAAGTATCACATTTCACATGGAAACACCGGACAGCGTTCCAAAAATGTCTTGGTTTTATGCAGTATATAGAGTGGAAAAAGAAAGGCATGAGTATTTAAATCAACACTTGAGTAGTTCATTACCTGGAACGAGAACGGGAGCGAGAGCGGGAACGAGAGCGGCTTCTGCGAAGTAGAAAGAATAGGGGTAAAAGCAGCGGGACTTGCAACTGTAAACAGACACATTACGGCATCTAGAGCGTCCCGACCAAACACTGCAAACTTCGATGTCATATTGGCCAACATCCCATGTACAAGCATAAGAACAAGTAATCTGATTACATTTATAAGAAACCATTTATAAAAAACCTCAATATAATTCTTATTGAAAATACTAGTTACCGTGATCGCGAGCGAGAGCGCGAGTAGGAGCGAGAGCGTCGGGAACGCTTGTTCTCCTCGTACAAGCGGATGCGGCGGCCGTGGAGATCCTTGCCGTCGAGCTTGTGGAGTGCGTTGCGCATGTCGCGCGAGCTCGCGAACTCCACGATGCTGTAACACGACATGACAATTACGACACCGCCTCAACTATTATTATTCATTTGCAAGACTCATGGCTTTCCTAGTTATTACCAGAGCCCAGTAACACATGTAAAACGCGATAAAATATTCTATTCTTGAGTGCGACATTTTGTGACAAATACTCGAGTGACAATGACAATAATGCCCACATGAAAAAATTGATTTAAAGCACTATCGTAATAGCAATAACCTGAACATTAACAACGGTAGGTACATAATGCTATTAGAAAGAAGTGGCCAGTCTACATAAGTGAATTACATGTATTTTGAAGATAATCTGTCATCTGAGTGCAAATAGTGATATTATCTTACCCTTCATTGCGACGTCCCTTGTGGACATCAGCGTAGGTTACTTCTCCGACCTGGCGCATGAAGTCCTTGAGATCCTGATAAGCGATAAGCACGTTAGTCCCAGCGTCACTCGTACACGGACCAGACAAAGTTATCTTCTAAAAGACCTCTAGGTGGGCACGCAAGTGAGGGCAACGCTTGTTGTGCTGTACACATTCAGGAGCAACATATTCTAAAGTGAATGGTAAACCGTTGATTCATAAGTAAATTCACCGATGAGGGGGCGAATCCTAAATTACAGTCATCGTAAAACTTCAATTTAAAGAGACAAACGGCTTCCAAGAAATCATAAGAATGTTTGTTCATCATAAAAATTGCGATAAACGTACATGTTAGAGGAAATTGTGAGCACTGTCCCTTGATTTAAACAAGCTGCTACCCTCACTCTGCTCCCTCACCCAATGCATAGCGAGAATCAAAGCGTTGTGGCTAACAAGCGCTAGATGCGCCTAAGTTAAGCAATAATGTCCTATAATTAATGCGATGAAAAAGAAACAGATGAAACGAAAAAGAAAACCGGCGATCCAACAAGTCATCAATGGACAAGGTATGGAAACGCCCATTGGAAATGGCATTGGTCAGACAGAGTAAGTCGCAACAGCTACACCTTAGAAACTCGGAGTTACGAATTAGAAGTTGATCACTCGACCCGCGGGCTTGGTCCATAAACATCCTTAAAATTGAGACCTCCTCCAGCGCCTATAGACGTCCCAATCCAGCGCCTAGGGAAGTCGTCCCGATCCAGCGCCTAGTGAGGTCGTCCCAGCGCCTAGCGACCTCGTCCCGATCCAACATCCAGCGAAGTCGTCCCGATCCAGCGCCTAGTGAGCTCGTCCCGATCCAGCCCCTAGCGACCTCGTCCCGATCCAACATTCAGCGAAGTCGTCCCGATCCAACATCCAACATCCAGCGAAGTCGTCCCGATCCATCGCCAAGCAATGATGAGGCGGCTAGTCCAGATACTCAGGATAAAGGCCCTTAAGGGATTCTTGGGGCTGTGAGACGCGCGCTCACTAGTACAAGACATCACCAACATCGAGGAGCATAGAGAATCTCATGTCACTAAATAATATCAAACAAGAGAAGCGAAGGTCACTACAGAGTTTTACCTTCAGAGACAACCCGTGGACGAAGTAGAGCCCAGACGACGAAGGGGTGGCACGAGCGTAAGCGATACTCGGTGTCGAGTCGAGACCGCCTGCCCCTCGCACCTTTTCTTCCTCCTCCTGAGAGGCTAACGAGCCTCGCAAGGAGGGGAACAGGAGGTCGGTCTCTCTCGTAATGTCTCGCGACCTACCAACACCAGCGCCAAAAAGCTCGCAGTGTCGGGCTGGGCAGTCGCGCCTTTACGGTAGCCGTCCTTTGGCGCACTGACCCATAAGAGTGATTCATGTGACAGCAGGATAAGGTTAGCATGTTCCTTCTTCGCATGCCTTCACAAATACTAATTAGGCATTATAATTAAATACAAGAATACTTATGTAGGTACCAATCAACACTGAACAGAACTGGGTAATATAATGATCCACATCTCATCTGGAAACGATTGTTCTTTTACTACAATCACAGGTGTTAATATTTATTGAGTTAACATAAGGAGAAAAGGGCTAGGTTGAAGGTTCAAGTAACTTTTTCCCGACAGCGCAAAGCGAATAGAGCTACAGAAACAAATTACATAAAAACACTACGTGAATATGTAATTCGCTAATTGATTAGTGTATTGTGCGCTAGCACTGGACACAAATATGGAAACGGTATCAATTTCTTATCGAACAAAGATAAGGTAAGAATTGTAATGTTTCATGCACACATACCCCAAATAACGTCCCAATAACACTTGACGATGAAAATTCCAAGAACGAGTCACTAATCCTTAATCAGATAGTCCATAACGCACGAGCACTAACGCAGATAACGCCTCTAAGTCCGTGTTTCTAAATGTCCAGCTGATCAAGGTACTGTCACGTCATAGAGCTTTTCTTGCACATGGCCACCGCATCTCTCTCGGAGCCTCGTTTCATCGCTTGCAGGCGGATGATATCAGCACGTAACGAGAAGTTCTTCATTGCTCAGCCAGTCCTGATGTCCCATACTTCGTCGCCATCAACCGACCGGGTGACGGCATCACGCTAGAGGTTGCAGGGATCACAATACCACCACATTTCTGGCTTTCGCGACCTTATCCGTCAGAAGATGCAGTCGCAGCAAAGTAATACGTATGCGGGTGCGAGGTGTACAGGATTTAAAAAAATAATTAAATCAAGGGAGCTAATGCATCAAGCGCCCACAGCAAACTTAGTCTCTACCTCCTCGTACTCGTCATGCCTATTGTACAATCTACAAATATTATGCTAAGGCATGTAACACCCTCTCAGTTATGTAAAGATAATAATCGACGATTAAAAAATAAATAACTTATACTGCAGATGTCATGTTCTCATTAGTGTACAATTAAGCTCAATAAAGAAATGGATATTAAACACGGATTTATTATCACCATGAGAGCTTCTGAGCAACCTACCATGAGCCTTACTCTCATCATCGCCCCACTAATAAAACTTGCATTATTTACACAGTAACCATCATGAAAAACGGTTTTCCGATAACCCTTTACAACCAAGACAACCTTTGAAGTTGAATCGTTGAGCAGCTAACATAGAACTCCGATGACCACGATGTCATGCACGAACTTCAAGGAAGCGTGGCAGTACAAAGCATTGAGTTTAATGAAGGCACGGCGTATTTTCGAGCTCAGTGGCCGAATGTGTTTGGATACATGAAGTGTCTGTGGAGCTATGCCACTTTGGTACGTAAGGCATATATTTCTAGAGCAGTAACTAACACCAAACAACGCCTTATAACAAATTATCACAGAAGATAACAGCTTGAAATGAGAGAGACGCCTCTTCTGCGATCACTTCAATTAGATACAAAATTAATATAACATCAACAGTCCAAAGTGGCAATGTAATCTACACAAGCAAAAGGGTAGCTGCAACATAAATCGAACGAAAAAGGTAAAGAAAAATTTCTGGGCAAGAGCAACGACGTCACATCGAGATGCCAAGCTCGAGGAGCAAACAATTCATTGACGTGACGCGGTCGAGTTCGTAAAGAATTTCAGTAATTGAATGCAGAGGATAATTACGAATTGATAGATGCAGATGCCTATCAAATAAAACTGAATATCAGTACGTTAGTAAACTGGCTATTCGAATAAATAATTAATTAATAAAATGACAATATAGTAATATGAAGTATCGTATGAAGACGACATTAGGGTCAGACGACAACAGGCATTGCAAATTCTAGACGCGCTGGCAGAGGAATAAAACATGGGCGTCGAAGGAAGGTCATAATAGTTCCTGATTTGTTAAAAGGAGGTGCCTTAAGAATAAACTTGACAAGACAAACATTGCAGCATACATTCTTTATCCAAGAGCATTAAGAATAACTTTGACGAACATTGTAGCATACAATCTTAATCTAGGAGCGTTAAGAATAACCTTGACAAATATTGTAACATACATTCTTAATCCAAGAGAATGATTCAGCAATGTGAATATGTAAGATGGAGAATGCAGGGCTGAAGATCTGACATCAAAGGCGACTGAAATAACACGCAATATTGGAATGTACCAAATAATACTGCCGGATCAGTGGGCACATAAACGTGAGAAAAGGAACGTTATTAGCAGGAAAGGAGGAACTATTGCGGAATGCATGACAAGAACGCCATTTTAATTGAGAAATCTTCTCGATGAAGAAAGAAGGTAACGGTGACATTCTGTAACAGCCTTCATGATTACCAAGGATAATCTTGTGAGAACAAAAATGAGTACTGAACACCTTGCTGGTGAGGTCATGTCCATATGATCAAGAAAAGTGCAGCTTGTAGAAAAATACCAAACCATTCAATTGGGGATCATTTGTACCAATCTATGGATAACACAGGTAGCAACAGTTGTGTGAGGTGGCAAGTAGTGACAGGTGTGTGAGGTGGCAAGTAGTGACAGGTGTGAGAGGTGGCAAGTAGTGACAGGTGTGTGAGGTGGCAAGTAGTGACAGGTGTGAGAGGTGGCAAGTAGTGACAGGTGTGTGAGATGGCATGGATGTGGTAAAAATGGTAGAAGGTAGTTGGCGTGGTGCTAGAAAAAAGAACTGACTGCTTTAGTAGCAAATTACATGATCAAATAGCATATTAGTAAATAAGAACCAAGTAAATGTCAAATAATTCTTTTTCAAAGACAGTTTCGGTGGAAACCCGAATCACTTGAACATTGGTAGTTGGTTTGAAAAACACCTTTAGCTCTCATCAACCAAAGTTGTTAATAAAAATTATTTTCTCAAATTCAAATTTTAGTTTTGCCTTTAGATTCCTCAGTTGAGGTTCCAAATCTTCTCTGGAAATTTGGTTCTACTCTGGAAAGCGGCAATCTGATTGTCTAGCTACTTTGAACATGGTGGATGAATATAGCTCACTTAGTTCTTTTTTACAAAACTCCTGAAAATATTTAGTGTTCGTAGTAGAAGTATTTAGTACTAGTATAGTGAATCTTCGTAGTCGTGGTAGTGGAACAATGTAGTACAAACAACAATGTATTTCATACATAGTAATTAGCTGAAATTTCTAATAAAATAATTGTATGCTATCCAAATTCACACGAGCGCTGCTAGAACAAATGACCAACCAACAATTTAACTGTTAACATAAACATGCAAACCGAAACAAACGCACACAGAAGCTCTAGAGTGGTTCTTAGAGCAATTTGTTAACTAATTACAACTGACATTATTTTTATTTATGGCCATGAAATAAAACAATTACACATTGAAGCAGTTCAAGTTGAGAATAAATATTTTGTAAAACATTTCGAAGTTCAAAATCAATAAACTAGTTCAGAATTTGTATCAACTTTTCTATAAAATAGATGGACGAGCACTTCACATGTCTTACGATCAGTTACAGTTATCACGTCTTGCGATCACAAAGCTGCATATCTTCAGCAACCTAACCTAGAACATCTAGCCTAAGCTGCAACCGCGTACCTAAACAATTAGCCACGACTAACAATGACGAAACAATTAATCACAATTTGGACATGATTAAGCGTTATAATGATAAAATTATTGTCATCTATAGTGTACTCCTGAGAACATTATCTTGATGTTCTGTGAATTGCATCTCTCAAAATTCCCAAATGTATGCCGCCTAATTCGCACGGGACATGACATAATAATACAGATCTTATTAATCTAAGGTGACCTTCCGACAACATTCTATGTGCCATCCTCCTAAAAATATTATCCATAATTCGGACGAGACATGACATAATAATACTGATTACATTATTATCTAAGAAGCAAATCATACTATATTATATGTGTAATCCTCAAAAAAATATGCCGCACAATTAAGACAACAGTAGTCATAATAATGCTGATCTTATTACTAAATAAGGTGCTGGTAAGGTAATTGTACGTAAGCTGACCTGCCAGGAGACGCGGCTGCTCACGTTCTCGACGATGAGGCGGTACTCGGTCCGGCTGGGCTGAGCGTACCTGCGCGGGGGACTTTACTTCCGTCATATGTCCATATCATTGCTGACAAACGGCCGGCTACATATATTATTATCGTACATTTCTTTTCATTATAAAATTTTTATATTCCTTGAACTAAAATCTCAATGTATACTTTGTGTAATATTAACTTGAATCTATAAGTGTTAAAGATACTCCCATCATCTAATAACCTGCTACCATGCGAAACAAAATCTACAAATTGATTAAACTCGTTAAAGCCCAAAAATGTCAAATTTATCTGCTTTAGTATATTCACTATGAAATTACGGCAAAGATATAATATTTAAACATAGATTTGACAAGTGCAACGAAATGAAGTCTCAATAGTAAAATACCGCATCTACTTGGGAAGCTGAAACCACACAATGACAAGGTGAAGGTACAAAATATGAACGTTCAAATATATACAAAGTGCAGTTCACATTAGAAGACTACATCCCCATCCAGTGACAGACAATAGATGTTATACTGCCCACAAGATGCACAAGTGTACTCCAATTTTAGGACTATGTCCAATAATCTAGACTCTTTATTACTGTTTACATTAAGGCTATATTAATAAGATATAGAAAACATGTGATGCTTTCAGGCGGCACACGAAAACAACAAAACTGTGTTAAAACAAGAAAAATAATCAACTTTTGAAGTGTTAGTGCAAGAAAAGTACTGCAGTAAACTCACCAGAACAGAAGCATGGCTAAGCGGCTAACGAGCTTGAAATATTCAAACAACATACCCCATTCAGGAGGAACAGCAGTTCCAAGACTACATTACTCACCACAACAAGTCTTCTTGATCTAACACAGTCCAATACCATGGTCTTGCTTCGGTTATCCTAACCAATGACTAATGCACAACAATCATTCAAATTTTACGGGATAATCTGAAAATGTTCCGTAGTTTTTGGGCAGAAACTTGTTGAGTAATTGCCGACGTAAAACTGTTATGATAGATTCAGAGTAAGTTGCATCTCTGTTATCGAGCAAAAATACAATATTAGCATGCATAAACTTTTAGTTTTGCAAAAATTTTTAGACTTGAAAGGGAGTTTTAACATGTTAAGTGAGGCTATGTTGTATTTAGGTAGTATTTCATACCGGTGGGTCGTGGCGCACTTAACGAGTTAAACAAAATGAAAAACGCAACAAAATATGCAACGTTGCCAACACTACGCAGGCCTAAATACTTGAAAGAATAAAAGGCACCTCAGTGCTGCCAACACTACCCAGGACTAAATACTTGTAGTAAACAAAAGGGCGCCTCAGGGTCTTCAACATTACCCAAGCCGAAATAAGTGTTAGGAAATTACAATCCCAGCCCTAGATAAGAAATGGCACCTCATGACGCGAGGTCTAGGTGGGGGCAGTGCGGCCCAGCTGCGGGGGGTGGACCTCGCCTTCTCCACGCTCACCCTGCAATATGAGAGTCATGGTAGCTCCGCTTACCAACAGCACCGGCCATGACAACCACTGAACCACCAGCATGGGTCATGATCACCATCAGACCACCAGCATGGGTCATGATCACCATCAGACCACCAGCATGGGTCATGACAACCACCGAGCCAGAAGCATGGATCACAACAACCGCTAAAATTCAGCACCACTGCTCATCAGTTCCTATGAAAACTGCACTTCGTCTTCAAACATCAATCATTTTGATCCGGAATAACAATAATTGAGATAGGTCCAACCAAGTCTATGGTATTAGTAAGGTCCAACCAAGTCTATGGTATTAGGCGCATCCTCTTAAAAAGTATCAACGAAATATAGACTTCTTGACGGACATCCGGTTCCCTTTAAAAGGAAGATGAAGGTTTTCCAGACGTGGATCTGCAGTACTGAGCAGCGGGAGTCCTTCCTTACCTCTAACGCCGGGTATAGTCATCTCGAGGTATCATGCATTTCAAAAGAAGTAGCACAAGCATGACACGGAGTTACTAAACCCCAACATACTCTAGACAAGAGGTCACCAAACAACAGCCAGCAGCCTGGCTCAGGCATAAGAAATCTATTCAACTGGAACGTCATGGAACTTTAATCAATTTCATGAGACGTTCTAGACTTAAAATATTGAACAAAACGGTTATGTATAAGGTAATGTGATCCAAAGCGGTCAGTGATTTCCTCAAAGAGCCTCAAACGTAAGAAGCTTGGTGACTCCAGCAGTAGAGTATTTGGGAATCAGGCAGGCAATATTGTTACATTTAGAAAGTGATGCATATTTAAGCTGATACAAGAACCATTAACGAAGAAATTGAAAAACTCATCCAAGTGTATATAAATTAATTGAAACAATGTGCAGCATTTCAGACGTTGAAACAAAGTCACACAGCGAAACAAAATGATGAAGCAGGCATGACAAACAACAGAGAAAGCATCATAAGAGATTGTGCGTGATAATCAAGTGTTGCAAGTAAAAGAATGGCAGCAATGGCAGGCATTACAAGTTTAAAAATTATTCAACATTATAAGTAATAAATTGAGAAATTAATGAATTCATGAAATGGAAGCACATTAAAAAGCACCGAATTTAAGGAAGCACTCTGCAACAGGTCTGGATAGCATATATAACTGACTTAACTTTGAAATAACCAACAGATCTTGTAAACCTAATATTTTACATTATTGTAATTTACTATGAAGTTATCACCACTCAATACTAATTTCCCCTTATTTCCAGCAATTACTTAATGCTTATCATGCCCTAATACTAACAGATACAGCAAGTTATTTGTTCGACTGTTTCCAGACCCATCTTAGAGTGAGAATTGAGGTCAGGGAAGAGAAAAGTGCAAACAATGATGAAGGTGGAAGGGGGCAGTTGTCCAGGCAATTTAGACAGACCCAACACATGCAAAGGAGTCACCTTGCGTACACAGGAGCTGCTGACCTGCCACGGTATGCACTCGAGTACCTTGGTATGTCTGCCGACCCTCGGGCCAACTCTACGACAACCCTGCGTACATGTCAAGCTCAGCAGAAAGCTTCAACACAGTAGTCAACTCATGTCCATTAGGCTGGGAGAGGAGCTTTCATATCTTGCTTCAATATTATATATTTTACCAGAGAGAATATCAGATGAGCATCCACACGAGTTGGTTCATAGGGTATTTGGGAAGCAATTTCACATGAATTGTCATACTAGAAGGGTATTCAGCCCACACTAGTTGGTATTATTATATTTGTGGATGATGGTTAGCAGTATCATACACTTACATTGGATATGATGAATATCATTGTCGGTAAGTCATTGAAGTATATACATGAAATCTACCATTACTACATGTAAAATTGTTGAGGAGACCTTGGAAAAGGTTAAGTGGTCCAGCTGACATCTCTCAAGTCAGCTCAAGTCATAACCTTTAGTCACTCCAGACAGGCCCCATCACTGACACTTCTCATAAACCAGAGAACCTTCATCACATCATTACAATAAGCAATATATACTAGGAATGAAGCTTTTGGTATTCTCATATTTTTTTCAGAATCTCCAAACAATTCTCTTGAAATGTAAAAAGAAACAAGCAGGGCGTCAATGCAAGGATATCATATTTGTGGAGTAAAATAATTATGTAATATTGATGAAGGCTTTAACCAAAAATAAATATTATCTTGTTAAACATGATTGACACAAATTCCTACATAATATGGATAGTTTTAAATCATGAACTCAAGTCTACATATGATCGTACTTTTCTTCTTTGAGTGCTCATAATTCAACTGCTGGAAGACTAACCTGTCTCCCATGAGGTCCCTGCCATTGAGTTCATAGACAGCATCATCTGCATCGCGGCCATCATCAAACTCCTGTAAACATAACTTTCATCAGCCCATCTACAGGACAAAACTATGAAATTCTTGTAATGCTATTCTAGAACTGAATGTTATATTTTGAGAAGTTTATTCTGACATTTCAGATTAAAAAAAGTCATAGACAATTCTCATTACAAAACGAGCTTTCAGAACATCAGAAATTCGAGTACTAGTTGATTCAGAAATGGCCAGACTGAATTTCATGGATTTTCCAAACACATATACAGGGTGTTTCAGAATTAAGTAACCCTTTTAATTTGTTAATAAATAAAAAACTAAGAACGTTATGAAGTTGAAACTTGTTTTATTTAAAAGAAGAACATTTTCATGGTAATATTGTATAATAGTTACATCATTATCCTGTATAGCTTGCTAAATTTGTGTTTAATTATCAAGCCTTAAATTTTCATCATGATTCGCTACAGCAAAGAAGAAAGAACAAAAATTATCGCCACAGTCAATAACGATGTCAATAACAGAAGTTCAACGTGATTACAGGATCCATTTCAAAACAAGGATCCTTCAAAAAACACATTTAAATATCTTTATCGAAAATTTGCGGATATCAAAAATTTGCACTCTCGTCAGAAACACTAATGAAGGTTATGAAAGCAACGAAGAGAAGAGCCCTATTTTGTCAAAACAATTGTGGTGGGCATTTAAAAGATATAATATTTAAAAACTAGGATACAATATTAGCATAAAAATGTTCTTCTTTTAAATAAAACAAGTTTCAAATTCATAACGTTCTTAGTTTTTTATTTATTAACAAATTAAAAGGGTTACTTAATTCTGAAACACCCTGTATTATATAGTAAGCTATAAAATCCAGTCTAGGTTTTCCATGGCTATGAAAAATTACTGAGGAATCTCGTTGAATTGTAAATTTATGCATAAGAATGGTTTCAAATCAGCACATATGAATAAGTAAATTTTTGAGCAAAATAATTTCATGTGAGTAAAAATTTTGACTTACTACAAAGCCAAATCCATTTTTGATGACTATGTCCCTGAGGCGGCCATAGCCTCTGAAGAAACGCTCCACATCTCTTTGGCCAGCACGGTGGTTCAGGCCGCCCACATACACACGTGTACCAACCATAGTTGGTGTCAAGTGTCCTGTAAACATAATATTCTTACAAGATCCTTAATGTTACAAATTTATTTAACATAAATGCAGATAAAGTAGACAAACACTTCCTTATATTCTATCAAAGTCTATTTTTTCACTTGTGATTGTGCCAAAAGTGTGTAAATTTTAGTTCTTTTTAGTGGCAATGTTGATATATTGATTTTTTTCACTTCACAGAGATTGTAATTTATTTTAGTTAATTATATATAAGAAAAAGAACTTTACAAGTTTACCAATTTCTGACTCAAACAATGACATAAGCTTGGATATTTTTTAACCTCTTCAAAATGATGTACAATTCTACGCCAGTATGACACGCCACCAATCTTGTCTCTAGTCGTCAGTTTTTGTGGCACAACCACTATGCATCTGTCTGTGCCCTAAAGTTAACCCTTTACTGCCTGATTTTCTGGGTAAAAAATGGTAAATTTCATTTTTCAGGTTTTTAGTCTCACCTTAAAGCTGACCTATCCAACGGTACCAAAATCATCTCTATACGTTGATTTATGCCTTGATGACAGATTGCAAAAGGGTTAGGAGTGGGGGAGTTCTTTCACATTCAAGATAGGTGAAAATTACCGGCCAGGCACATAAATAGACGGTCTGCAGACACTGATCTTTGATTATCTGGCTGCTGTTTTGTGGGATGGTGCTCATGCAGTTGTTCACACCATCCTTGACTGAATTTCAGCTCCAGTAACTGCTATTCTTGTATCCATTCCATGCCACCTTGAATGCCTATTTCAAGGTGCTCGGGACTTTGTTGCGCTCTACTGAACATTCACACTTATTGTCAGTTTGTCACTGCATACCTATCTCCTCCTAGACCTAGAGTTTTCAAGCTACATCAATGAGACTAATACCTAGGCTATGAGAGATATGCTGTTTGATTTGCAAATAAAAGATCTAGAGATTGGTTGTAGCTTTTCTTCAATTTTGTTACAGTTTTGAAAACATTTTGAAAAAAGTGAAGGGAAATTTGAAAGGGTGGGGGGGGAATAAAAATTAAAAAAAAAAAAATTCCCACCCCACCTACAAAAATTAGAATTTTCAAAAACAGCAAGGGCCAATTGATAGATATGGTCCTTACGCATTGAATGAATGTGTCTCGATGTTGTAGCTTGAAAATCCTAGGAGGAGATAGATTTTTACAGTACCCTCTTTTTATCGGTTTTCTGAGAATTTAATGTTTTATTTCATTCTTTTAGAAAAATTCACTTGAACAAAAAAGTCTTTAATTTATAGACCAAAATAAAATTAAAATTAAATTACCAAAATAAAATTTCCACAAGAAATTGGAAATTTTATTTTGGTTAGGTTTAACAACCACTCAACCTAGTATGGAATATATCTACTTGGCGAGCCGCGACTGAATTTTTAAGGATTAAGGCAACGTAATGAGTAATATTTTTTTAGACGAAATTGAGATGTTAGTTGTTTAAATGATGAATCGTGAAAACATAGCAATTCCGCAAGAATGTTCAAGATCTCTTACAAAATCCGTGCAATGGCGGTTCGGTGTAATTCCGTGAGAATTTTGAAAAGCAGTACTCCTGATCATTGCCTTAAATTTCCAATCGGGATTACGATGTTTATGTTTTTTCTGCAAGATATTTTTGGCAGAAACGGTAAAGCAATGCGGATTGCGGAAGTTGAAAATTTTATGAAATGACATGTTTGCGAAGTGCAAACAGCGATTTTTTAATCGAACAAAAATTGATGACATTCGAGCCGCGAGATTTCATACCTACTGAAATTATATGATATTAGAGCCGCAATATTTCAGACAAAAATAGGACTTTTCCAGACTAGCACTCAACCAGATAGGCTAACATGCTAACTTTGAAACTTGGTACACTAATGTAAAAAAAACTAAATCTAGACTTTTGTTCCTGTAGATTTGTCAAAAAAATGAAAGAAAATGTGAAATTCTTAGAAAACCGTTTTTTTTTTAAAGGCAGCTTGAAAGTCCGATTTGGTGGTAAAGAGTTAAAGAGACATGCAGCATAGATCAGTCATCAGTGATCGTGAATCAATCCGCCAGGCGCCAACTTTATGGGCATACCTAGCTAGCTATATATATTACTAAGTTACAATAAAGCTGAAATATTCGCAGCTAAACCCACATCAGTTCAAATTTTGCAGCTAATTATAGTAAACCTTCAACAACGAATGGAAAATAAAATCAAAACGTGTAGCTAGGTAGCCTTCAAGGTACAATAATCGATCTTTTATGCTTTACCACGCAGTCTAGGTATCTTCCTCCCAGTCCCAGGCGACTCTATCATCAATGGCTGACCAAAACACGCAGGAGCTACTAGAGTGAAAAAAAACATGAAGTAATATCTAAAATATACTATTTTATACTCTCTCAAGCACCTAAATACAAACAAGTTTAAAGTGGCATACCTTTGGCTGCTTATTATATGCTTTTCTTTAGTGGTATTATTCACAACGTCACAATATGCTCTCGAAGCCACATCAGCACGCACAATGAATGCTGGGCTTGAACTGTGGAAACAGTGGCCGTACGCTGCAAATGAAAAAGTGGCCCTCTATGTTCACATTCCAAAGTTTTATAATGATATTGATTATGTTTCCGTTCATGATATTGGATTCAATACAAAAAATGACCACCCTTATAAGAGGCTTTATTATTGTTTATTAAAAATGTATTTGAGCACTTTCACCAAATTCATTTCAGAATTTTGCATCATTCGGCCTACCCTACCACGCTAATGCTCACGCGTTTTTGTCCGACCGGAGAGCATGAATTATCATGCAAAGTTTTTAATGGAATGGCTTCACCAAAAAATAATAATAGCAATGATTATAAATAATAATAATAATGAAAAATTATAATATTATTAATAATAATAATTCGGTGAATGAAAATCTTTTAGTAAGATCTTTCTTTTTAACATATCAATTTGAACGTAGCAGCTGAAGTATTGTATCCTACAATGATAAAAAATATGTATATAACCGAGAAGTTTCGAGCTTGACATTCTGCGCACAGTTTTCTGTTTCATTTTCTACCGGTGCCTATGTATGAGAGTAACAACTTGATCGCCTCAAAACCTTGCAATTCATAAAAAAAATTTCATACCGTATCACGACTTCTATTTCATTATTTGTTGATTAACTTGGTAGACAACTTGCGATGTGTGTTTAGGACATGTGACATATATATTTGGCTGACTTGGCTCAGACTTCAGTTAGCCGTCACAGATGTGCGAGTGTGGATGTTGTGGATTTTTCTTAATAGAATTTCTCCGTTCTCACTCGTCTTTCGCCCATAGCTATTCTATTGAACGTTTAAATATTAAACACCTGGGTATTATCATGATGCCTGGAAAATTTTTGTAGCAGCTCCCCAATTTTTCAGTTATACTTGGACATAACTTAGTAGGATGATTAGGATCACGATGATAATTCATACCTATACCGCTATACGCTATAGGCTATAGTTATGCCAATTATATTTACGGTGCTATTTAGAATTTGTACAATTTGGAATCATACACTTTGAATTTTAAATTAGAAAAAAAAAACAATTCATATTGTGCCTGCTTTTGCCGGTCAGTAGCAGCAAACAAAACAAAAGCAACCATATGATTCACTTGGTCTTTTCAGTGCAAATTATGAATTATGAATGATATTAGGAATTACCTAGCCCTGCGGCTAGTGCCCCTACCTAGGGTGATATTGCTTGAAGAAACCTTAATTGTGCTAGCAACAGTAGCTAAGCATCTCCTGTATTTTAGCCAAAATGCCTTAGCTTAGGTATTTGAGATTAAATTTTGCAAAGAAATTTCATGTTTTCTCAACATCCTTGAGCCTTTTGATCAAGGCTATTGCCAATTTTGCCATCAATGTATAAATAAGTCATTAACTTTTTTTCAATTGACACAGGCTTGGAAATTTTAAAATTAAATTTTATTTCAACTTTCAAGTGTCATGGCCCCTGGGTTACCCCATTCCCAGGCCAGGGCTAATTAGGGATGCTTTTATTTTCCATCTGGCACCTTACAAATAGCATAGGGAATTTTTTTGGATAGGCCATAGAATAGCCCCTGGCCCCTGCAAAGGCTTTTAAAATGAGCTCACACTTGTTTCTGAAATGTTTCATGGTAAGAAGTTATTAACAAAAAATGGTTGAAACTATTCCTAATTGCCTCATTTGACAGTATGCATTTACTTTCAGAGCTGTGACTAAAGCTTCCCTGCCATTTTTGGAGCTGCAAGATTTTTACTAAATGAATAGTACAATTAGTACCCTATCTGAAAATGCAAGATCAAGGCATGAGTTTGCAAATTTAATGAAAAAATGTTGCCACTGCATTTGTGCTATCATATCCTCATGCCGCTCAAGTATGCAAAATGTGTATTAAACATGGGTGGCTAATCACCAGAGAATTCATTGATTTGAACACTCAGGGTCAAACAGTCCTTCAGAATACTTTGTTTGATCAAAATGCTGGCTTTAGGAAGTGATTCTAATTTATTAACAATGTTTTGAATGTGAAAACATTCATTTTCAAGATATAGGAAGCATTGAATATTGTAATTTCGGTGGAAATAAGTACATTATACAACATAACAATTTGGAACTGTAGAAATAATTCCAGAGCAATCTATTAGTTCATAAAATTTGGTAGTTATGAGATAAATAGCTGGAGTCCAATCCTAAGAGATGAGGCTTCAGCTATTGTTGATTAGATGATGTTAGGTCACTCCATGAAGACGATGCTGTTAAGTTCCTTCAGCACAGTACAAGTGATGGTCTCATGGTGTTTGATGTTGTTGTCAAGATGTCACAAAGCCTGTTGATTTCATTGCAGATTTCGAGATGAATTTGATCAATTGTAATGCTTGGAGACCTGATCTGGTTGCAAGCTTGTATGATGTGGCTGGATAAATGGCTGCTCAATGTCAAAGTAATCACTCCAAAGTCCAATGTAGTCCAATTAATGATGAAGTCTTTAACCTTTTTTGAAGTAAAATGGATTGACTACACCAGATTCTTGGAGAACTCCTGTTCTTTTGCTGGAGCCATTGCTATGTATAGTTGGGGCTTGACTCTGTGGTCAAGGGTGTCATGGAGCCTGTTCAATTCATCAGGCATCTTGCGATCTTGAGAATTGAGATGCAGTTGCTTGATTTTATTGCGTTTATGCCTGGTTATTATTTGGACTATTATTTAGACTTCATTATGTGGACTACATTGAAGTAATTAGAGTAACTACTACCTATGACATTAAGCAGCTATTTATTCTGCCACATGATACGAGCTCGCAACCAGACCAGGTCTCAAAGTAATCAAGCTACTTCATCTTAAGATCGGTGATGAATTCAACAGGCTCTGTGACACCCTGTACAACAACGCCAAACTTAATGAGTCTGTCACTCACACTGTGCTGAAGGAATCCAAGAGCAACAATATCTGAAGTAAGAGGAACACTTAAAATGCTGGATAAAAAAAATTGTCTTGACTTTCATGTCTGAACTCCACTTGTATTTTGGAATTGGGTTAATTACAAATTTTATCAATTTTGATAAAATGAACCACTATTCTTGGAATTCTATTCTTTCAATAATCTTATTTGCAAAATGTATGTCAATCACACAGATATTTATGCAATGATGGATTATACAATATATTACAATACAATGTACAATAGAAAAAGATGATGCAGCTCAAGGACACCAGGGACAAGTGTCTTGAGCTACAAATTAGGAGTAGGAATGAATGACAAGTATGTTCATCAAATGAGACAGCATGGTTTAAGCAATATAATCATTTGGCAGGAATCTGAGCTGGAAAAGTACATCTGGCACTCTAGTGGCCTCTTCTCAAGTTCTGCAACATTGCCTGGGCACTCAGTGCTTAAAAGACAAGCAACAAGCTGTAAATATCCATATATCAGTGTATTAAGTCATTACTGGATTTAAGGAGGTGGCTTATAAGTAGTGCCATGAAAGTACAATGATTCTTAGTGTGACTTGCTGAAGAATTCATGACCATTTTGTGCCATCTACAAGTACCCCAATGGGTTTTACTCAGAGGAGAGTGTTTATACTTGATGCTTATGGCATTACATAGGCCATCATTCCAAAATAAAAGAAATAAAGGTTTAATATTACTCTGTGACAGCTCTTATTGCTTGCTGGTTAATAACAGACAATACAAGATTTGGATCACTTTAATTATCTACATCTCGTTCAGCTATGCTATGCTAAATACTAATCTTTTGTCTTATGTACGCAGTCTGTCCCCAGTTTCTTTGTAGCTAGGGAACAAGAAAATTTCCCACATCTACCTCCAATTTGACATAACTTGTGAGGCTCAACTTTGCTTCCTTTCCCATCTTTCTATGTTGATAAACATTAACCAGCTATGAACGAACTTTGTGCATTTGAGTAAATGGTAAATGTCTTGGCTTTTTGTATATTAATAAGGGCAAAGTTCTATAAATAGTGGTTTCATAGCACATAAAAAGAAATTTGCATTTTTAAAAGCAAGATGTTAATATACATGTATAAGTATTAAGTACCTACCAGTTGATATAACAAATTCTAGAATTCCATGTAAAATTTTACCAATACTTGACAATAACAGCAATTTTAACTGGAAGTTTTTAGAAACTGTTCCTCCTTTTAAAAATCTTAGTGATTCCAGTTTGGCACTAAGAATATTTGGCTATTTCCCATGTGGTGATAGCTTTGCAATACATTCATCTGAGCCTAACAAGCAAGAGAGCTTGTCATTCAAGAGCAATGAACGTCATGTCTACTTGTAACCTACTGTTTGAAAAGCTTTTCACTCTCTACTTGGGTAAAATGTGAATAATGTTCTAGTCTGAGTTACCAATGAACTCATAATTTCAACTTTTGATTTGAAAAAAAACATGAATTCATTTCATTGACTCTGGAGAGAACATCCTGGTGAAAATTTGTAGGCGTAAACTTGGTTTTCATATTATAAGGGAACAAAATCACCACTATAATTTGAAGAATTTGTTTGTCCCTAGATGAGTGTTCAAGGTGAACTGTCTCAAAAATTTGTGTTATTTTCATTTAGAAATAATTGGCATTACTTCACTTCAAAATAAATGGCATTACTTCACTTCAAAATAATTGGCATTACTTCACTTAGAAATAATTGGCAGTAATGGGCGCATTACTATGGAATATGTAAAATTATATAACTTTCAAGCAATAAATTAACTCGAATTATATATATGGGTCCTGGTTACTCATTAAATTCTTAACAGGATCCAAGTTGGAGCAAAACTTACAGCTGGTATTTATGTATATTTCTTCTTATTGGCATCAGCTTGATGCTGATGTTGCTGCCCGCTATTCGCGCTGTTGGCCCCATTTGCTTGTGCATGCGCTTGCTGCTCCCGTTGGCCAACTGCTGCTGTTGTTTGCTTGCTTCATCTCTGAAGTGGCTTCAAGCTTCCCTCCATCTGAGATACTGGTGTGTGCTTTAGAGCAATAATGCGC